TCCCATTTTCTCAGCTGCTTTTCAAATGTTCTAGGTTTTTTCCTCTTCCAACTTTCCACTTTTGTCTTCAGCTTACTTCAGTTGCTGCAAACCGATTCAAACTCAACCAATAGGCTTAGGACCTTATCACACGTCCCAACTAGGACATTATGTCTCACCAGCTTTTGACAGTGAAAGGGAAGGTGCGCAGGGCGACTCGTGGTGCCCTGTGCACCCTCCCTCCTCCCCTTATCACACATGGAGGGTGGAAAAGGGTGCGTTGGCATCTTTTCCCACCCCCTATCACATGGCAGAGAGGATGGCAATGTGTGGCAACGCATGTTACCCCATCACCCTTTCTACCATCACACGCGCTTTTGAGGGAATTGCTGTCAAGTGTAGCTAGCTACCCACACAATGCTTTCCTCCCCTTTCGGCGCTTTGCTTCCATGTGTCATGTGATGGCACACAGCAAGCCCTGTCAAACCCACACATGAAGATGGCAAAATGGGCTATTTTTCCCTGTGTGAAGAGGCCCTTAGACAACATCAAACTGCATCTCATTTATATCTTTTGCCATCATGACAAAGTTGCTCGACCACACATCCCTTGTTTTAATCTGTAAAGTGTTGGAGAGCATTTATAGTTTTTACAAATGTCACTCTTACTAAGGAAAATTCTTTGGAAACCTCCATAAACACAGAAATTATTCATGAGATATTGTTTCATTGAACTTTGAAAAAGTACCATACCCAAGCCAATGGACAAGAGCAGAAGTCCTCTTACAGACTGAAAACGTTTTAAAGAACAAGAATCAGAAAGTAGGTATCAATGACTAGTTCTTGTCATGGAGGGGTTCAAATAGTGAAGTCATGCAGGGATACATATTGGGACTGATGCTGTTTAAGATGATCATAAACACATTAGCAGCAGGAATTTATTTATTTATGTAAATAGCTATGTTTACTGATGACACTAAATTATTTGGGCGTTTGAGAACAATGGATTGCTGAAGACCATCAAAAACCGTCTTGCCCAACTAGGAGAATGTTTGAGGTGAGATTCTTTGTAAACAAGTATTGGAGGAAGGGAAATCCCAGCTTCACCTCCCCTGATGGGATCTGAGCTGGCTGTGACTGACTAAGAAAGGCACCTTGGGGTTTTAGACAGCTTGATTAAAATGTCAATGTGTGCAGCTATTCTTCTGGAACATTATGTACAATTTAAGTTGCCTTGCCACCATATTTAAAAGAAGGGCAATTTAATACTAGAAATGTGCAGAAAGGGTAAGCAAAATGTGGTGCTAACTAGAGCAATTTTGTTATGAGGAAAGTTGACACCATCTAGGGCTGTGAAAGGTGAATAAGTAGAGAGGTGACAGAGGTATAAAAATTAAATATATTGTATGCAAAGTAGATAGTGAGACATAGTTCTCCCTCTCTCAAACTGCTGCAATCGGGATCACACACTGAAGCTACTGTAAATGGGCAGCAGGAGATACAAGGGAATGCTTCTTCACACAGGGCAAAGTTCAACTGTGAAGTTTGTTGCTACAAGATATTACTATGGTTGCCAGTGGTTTTAACATGGAATTGAGTTAATTTGTTGAGATTTCATTCTTCTGAGGCTGAGAGAATGTGACTTGCCAAGGTCACTCAGTGGGTTTCCATGGGCAAATGGGAATTTTAACCTTGGCCTCCACAATCCTAATCCAACACCCAACCGCTATACCATATATATTGCCTCTATTATCATAAGGTATACTTGTTCTTCAGTTTGGGGAACACAGGATAGGTAGAGAGTTCAATTAAATGTATTGCTCCAGAGACCAATCATTGTATAGAACAGAATGCTGGATTAAATTCACCTTTGGCTTTATCCAGTGTGGCTTTTTCTATGTTTTTGGCTATATAATATAATTATAACCTTTAAAAGATACCAATAGGTCTTATCTCCCAAGGTCTGGCAATCCCTCATAGCCCAAGGATGATAGTCCTCCAAGTGTAGTGCCTTGGCAGTGAGTTTGTATGTGGCTGTGGAGCCCTATTCGTGATCCACATGTTCTTCCACAGTGAGGACATCAGTTTCCAGGTGGTCCCAATCAGAGTTGTCTTGATGCACCTTCTTCTTGGCACATTTCTCCCTTTCGCCCTCCATTCTTTGAATTCTACAGCACTGCTAGTCACAGCTGACCTTCAGTTAGAGCACTCAAGGGCCAAGGCTTCCCAGTTCTCAGTATCTGTGCCACAGCTTTAAGCCCATCTTTAAATCTCTTTTCCTGTCCACCAATATTACATTTCCAGTACTTGAGTAGCCACCCTGGGTCCCCCCTCTGGGGGTAGAGAAGTGTGGGTGGGGTAGAAATGCTTGAAATAAATAAATAAATAGAGTTGGGAGTATAGTAACTGCTTTGAGATGGTAATCGGGCATTCGGACAACATGGCCAGTCCAGCAGAGTTGATGGCGTAGGAGCATCATTTCATTGCTGGTGGTCTTTGCTCATTCCAGCACACTGGTATTTGTTTGCCTGTCTTCCCAAGAGATTGGCAGGATTTTTCAGAGGCAATGCTGATGGAATCATTCCAGGAGTTGAGTGTGATGTCTGTAGACAGTCCACGTTTCACAGGCGTATTTGTATAGTAGGATGGAAAGGACAATAGCTTTAGAAACAAGCACCTTGGTCTTCCTGTAGATGTCCCGGTCCTCAAACACTCTCTGCTTCATTCGGAAGAATGCTGCACTTGTAGAGCTCAGGCCGTGTTGTATTTCAGTGTCAATGTTGACTTTTGTGGAGAGGTAGCTGCCAAGGGTAGTGGAAATGGTCAACATTTTCTAACGTTACACCATTAAGCTGTATTTCTGGCATTGCAGAGGGATTGTCTGATGTCTGCTGGAAGAGCACTTTGGTTTTCTCGATGTCCAATGAGAGATCATGTTTCTCATATGGTTCTGTGAAGGTGTTTAGACTGGTTTGTAGGTCTTCTTCTGAATGCGCAAAGTATTATACCCCAAAGTAATAGAAGCACTGCCTTTCCCAACTTCTTACTTTATCTGATTCTCACCCTGTCCTTGGTATTTTCTATTCTTTCTTATCTATTAGTAGGTTATTCCTTGCTGATGCTTAATTCATGCACACTGATACTCCCCAGGGTAATCACCCATAATGATGCCAAGAGATACCTATGAGAAAACATTACCAGAACAGAACACAGCAGAATGCAACTAGAGGAAAGCAGGTTGGAAGAGGGACCAAAGCAGGAGAATAGTACAAGGAAAATTCCAAAGGAAAGAAAAATAAGAGAAAGTTTTTATTTGCAAATAGAGATGAGGTCTCAAATAATTTGATTTGTTCAAACCCTACAACTGATTGTGTATGTCTGTGTTAGAATTATTTTTCACTACTGGCGGAAACCAAAAGCTTTTATACCATGAAATAAAATTGTTTAAAACCTGCTATATTAACACACATGTATAGCACATCTTGTTCATGTGCTATGAATGGGACAACAGATGAGGATATTTTCTTGGCCATTTAGAAGAAATGACTGTACAAAGTAGAGATTCAGTAGTCCCTCGCATATGCCAACAGTAAAGGGAAGTGGGGGAAATGCAATTACCCTTTAAAAGCTTCAAATTTTGATTCAAAAGACTAGAAAAAGTCAATAAAGGCTCGACAGTCCGACAATGACTATACATAAAAGAGTGCTTGCAGACAAAGCTTTTATTATGCCATCATCTTGCCTCATTCACCGAATTTTATGGCATGGAAAATCAAAATGATATCTTACATCTCTAAACATTCTCTGTTTTCTAAGTTCTCTTTCTTTGTTTCATTCGTTCATTTCTTCATGTAGTAATGAGAAAAAACTAGACTATCATCAAATTCCTTTTCTATTTGTAGGCAAGAGCCATCCACTGAAAGTTCCTAAGATAATGGGTGTTGTTTTTATGTGCCTTCAAGTCACTTTTTATGGAGCTTTCTTAGGCAAGGAACACTCAGATGTGGTTTTATAAGTTCCTTCCTCTGAAATATAGTCCACAGCAACTGGTATTTGCTGGCAGCCTCCACCCAGGTGTTTACTAGGGCTGATTCTACTTAGACAGGATCTGGGTTGCAGTTCTGTAAAAGTCGGGTATTGCAGCTGTATAGCAGGCAAAGGAGAATGCTAGCAATGCAAGCTCAAAATATATTTTCAACAAATAATGAGAAAAAGGATGTTAGCATCTGGGCTCTCAATTCTTTTAGTGGTTAGATTCAAAGCACATAGGCATAGGGTGCATCTACACTGTATAATTAATTTAATTTGACACCACTTCAACTGCCATAATTCGATGATAAGTTTCATGGGACTGTTGTTTGTTGAGGCACCAGTGCTCTTTGGCAGAGAAGGCTAAAGATCTTGTAATACTACAATTCCCATAATTCCATAGCATTGAGCTATGGTAGTTAAAGTGGAGCCAAATAGCATTAATTCCCCAGTGTAGATGCACCCATAAATGTATTGTCAGTGGCAATACTGAGGGTCTTCAAAAAGGCTTCCAACAGAGGCTGGATCTACACGGCCATACAATTCAGTTCCTGAATCCAAATTATCTGCTTTAAACTGGATGTCACTGCCCTGGTCCTTTCATTATTGGCTGCTACTTCCCTATGAATGGTGGTGTGATACTGGCTAATTTCTCCAGTGGTGTAGACATTCTGTGATAACGCGGCATGTCTCATTAAGAGCCACATCCACTGTTTTAATGTGGTGAGATGTATTCCATCCTGGGCATGCATATTCAGCAGCGGAGTAGAAAAGTGCAAGGGCAGATGTCTTCAGTGTATCTGTTTGTGATTCCCAGGTTGTGCCAGTCAGCATTTGTATGATATTATTTCTCGCACCCACTTTCTGTTGAGATATATAGATATATTTGTGCATTTAATAATAATAGCAGCAACAACCAGAACAGGTGTCCCTAATGTGACATTTTCTAAACTGCCTCTAATTCTTTGGCATCCTCCTTTCTCTCTCCTGCAGCCAGAAGAGCTGACCAACATTTTAGAGATCTGCAATGTCGTGTTTACCAGCATGTTTGCCCTGGAGATGATCTTGAAACTTGCTGCCTTCGGTCTGTTTGATTATCTCCGCAACCCTTACAACATTTTCGACAGCATCATTGTCATTATCAGGTAATGGCTGTCAAATAGACATGGAGAGGTTGGAAGTTTTTACAAGTAAAAGGTAACCTTTTATTTTCCCTTTGTTTCAAATGAACTCAAATAGATATTTTTATCTACATCAAAAAATCTAAGTAATAGAGTGTACAGCTAGTCTTTGGCAAAAAAAACAAAAACAAAACACCCAAATAGGCAACGCTCCTGCAACCATAAGGTATTTTATTTATTTTCATTTTATTTATTTCATGTCAAAATTGCATAAAATAGTTTATCTAAAACTGATAAAACAATTTATCTAAACTGATAAAATAAAGGGGTCATAAGCTGCTAGATAGTTTTAGACCAAAAATGGACAACAGCGACCGCATTGTCTGTAGCTTTAAACAGTTCTTCCTCTGTGCGTGAGGCAGGGCATTGTGGGCAAGCATACAGATGCTGAGTTGTTTGTTCTGCTCCACAATCACACAAGGTGGAGGATTCTTCTAGGTAGTACCATTTTGGTAGTGCAAACTGGCACTCCCATAAGGTTATAGTTATGCTGCAGTAGGAATGAAATTATTCCTCATTCTGATAACTCCATAATGTAATTTTGTTGGTTGTTGCAGAGAGAAAATAATTACAAACAACTTGTTTATAATTGGATATTTCCATGCTTTGACTTTACGTTTTATATTCAATATGACAGAGGGCATATCTAAAGAGGGGAGGCGAGAATTGACCTCATGGCATCCTTGCCCCCAATGCAGGCAAGGCCATACATTTTACTGTGTATACAGTGCTGTCCTTTGCTCATCACTTTCCCCATTTTTGTTACTGCTTTCCAATCTTATTAGCACAGGAAATATGTTAAGGAGGAAAATATGCCTTCCAGTTGTTTGTGTCAGGAATACTCAATCTGTAAACCAAGAAATATATATATACATGTCAGGAGTGACGTGAGAAACTGCAAGTCACGTCTGGCATGAGAGAATTGGCCGTCTACATGGACATTGCCCGGGGACACCTGGATATTTTATCATCCTGTGGGAGGCTTCTCTCGTGTCTCTGCCTGAGAAGCTGGAGCTGACAGATGGGAGCTCATCCTGCTCCCCAGATTCGAACCACAGACCTTTTGGTCAACAGCCCTGCCAGCACAAGGGTCTAACCCATTGCACCACCGGGGGCTCCATACAGTTATTCTGGAGAACCGAAAAAAAATCCTAAAATGCTATTCTTTCTAGTAATTGATTGGTCCTCCAGGGTTACTCTGTGATCGCTTCTGGTGGAAGCAAATCATAAAACTACATTTGAGATGTAGAAAATGTCTAAAGATTGACATATTTTGTTGAATGTGGGTAGGTGAAACAGAGGGTACTGATCCATGGGCAAAGGGTTTTATCATTGTTCCTCTGCTTTTTATCTGCTTTCTGATCTTAGCTACCTTTCTTTCTTCCTCTTGTTCTTCTTATTGGTGATCTGTAGCATTTGGGAGATCATAGGCCAAGCTGATGGAGGTCTGTCAGTGTTGAGGACATTTCGGTTGCTGAGGGTGTTGAAGCTGGTCAGGTTCATGCCTGCTTTGCGGCGTCAGCTGGTGGTGTTAATGAAGACTATGGACAATGTGGCTACCTTCTGCATGCTTCTTATGCTGTTTATTTTCATATTCAGGTAAGAAGAGAGATTCTTTCATGAAGCCTGGGAAAATGCCTTTAAAACATGTAAAAGTAGACTGCAAATTAACATGAGATCCATTTGGCTGCAGTTTGATTGATCTGTATGACTTTTATTCTGAAATCACATGGAATTGAGCCAAGATTCTCTGCTATTTAAGGGGAAGTCAGTGTACAATAATGCCACTTAGGGCTGAACAAAAGAATAACTCAAGAAATTAACTATTGAAATGACAATTAAGAAAATTAAAGTCAATTTAAAATAACAAATCAGGAAATCCTGTTTGTTTGTTTGGTCGCATACTGCAAATCGCCCAGGTGTGTTACTATCCTGCAGGGAGGCTTCTCTCATGTACCACGAGATGCAGAGCCAATCTTAAGAAATGGGGCTATAGAGTCCATGGCATGCGAGTGTGGAGAAGACCACTTACTACAATGCGGTCTGAGCCCTGTCACATGCACAATGGAGAAATGGAGTGACTCCTGAGGCTCTCAAAGTGGTCAAAAGAAGTTTAACTGAGGGTTTTTATACATTACATACATACGAGGGCCGCAGTGGTGCAATTAGTTAAACCTTTGTGCTACTGAACTGCTGACCTGAAGGTTAGCCGTTCAAATTCATGGGATGGGGTGAGCTCCCACTGTTACCCCAGCTCCTGCCAATCTAGCAGTTTCAAAACATGCAATTGTGAGTAGACAAAAAGGTACCACTTTGGCAGGAAAGGCATAGCATGCTCCAAGCAGTCATGCCGGTCACACAACCAGGTGGTGACAACACAGGCTCCTTGGCTTGGAAATGGAGAACAGCACGTTCCCCAGAGCCACAGAGGAGCACCGCCTCCAAAGCGAGAAATGAAAGGAGAAGCCTCTGCCTTTGTTTGTTTTTGTGTGTCTCATTGTATTGTAACAAGGTATTCAATGTTTGTCGGTATCTGTTTACACTGTAATTCGCTCAGAGTCCCCATGGGGAGAAGGGCCAAATATAAATAAAGTGTTGTTGTTTTTACATTATAACTGTATTTATTATTATTATTTATTGTTACTTTATTTATATACCGCTTTTCTCAGCCCTCAGGCGACCCTGTATTCTCTATTTGCTTCTGACATAATAAATAACTAGACTTACTGTGCTAACAATACTGTGTGGGTGTAGGAACTGGGGTATATGTTCAAATTTTTAAAGCTCTGGTTTCACTGAAAACAAAGTTAACAAAAGGTAGACTGTTTATTGGTAAAACAGTGAAAACAAATTTGCAGGAAACTAGAGCCTAGGAGGAGTGCAATTTGAGCAAATAATCTGAAACATAGCAAATCTTTCTACCTTCCCTCTTTTTCCTCTCGTTCTCCCAAGCATAATTATTTGAACTGTCATTCCATGTTATCCTTCACTTCTCCCTTCTACATTACTTTTAAAATCCAATGTTGTGGAATGATGGGAGCTGTAATTCAAAAACCTTGGGGTACTCCAGTTGCCCACCTCTGTTCTAATTAAGAGAAGCCTGGAGCTTCCTAGCCCTGATTTCACTACCCTGACCAAAAGTGTTTATGTGCTTTTAGCAGACAAGTGTCCAAAATACAATGTCTTGTTTTGGTGATACGGATAACATCCATGGACACAATAGAAAGATTTTGCACATTCCTAGGGGACACACTGTCAGATTGCTTCTACTGATATCCCACAGAGAGCACAGTGTAGCTTGGATTTTCTCTCTCAGTGTGACCTAAATTTATTTGGGAAAGGAAGAGGAGGAAGAGAAGAAGGAGATAAGAAGGAAGGGTGTTGGAAGCAGTGGGGATGTGCAAGAACATTTGCACTAATTAACACTATAGCATTACTATTTTGAAGATCAGCAAAGTGTCACAGAGGAAGAAGCAGTAAACCTTCTTGTTCTAATGGATTTGTCTCATTTGAGTTATAGTTATTTGTCTTCATTCATGTGTAACTTCTTGGACCTACATGTGAAGGAGACACTAGACAGACATGTCATGAAGGCAGCCAGTCACAGCTCAGTCAGGATGAGAAGGTGGGCTGCAGAAGAGCAGAATGCCTCAAAAAACAAAGGCTTGTTTATATGAAATTCAGACAGGAGTTTGAACTGATACAAACAGGGCTTGAACTGGAACTGACAGGTTTGAAGTTGATGCAACAGGGATTGGAGCTTAAGTAGAACGGGTGTTAGATTTGAGAAAGAAGGGAGAAGTACCCCAAGTTTTGGAAAATATTTAGAATATATTATTATAAGTTATTAGATTTTTCTATTGTTTTTATAAGCCATTTTGTGTTGCCAAAAGCTTTCATGGCCAGAATCACTGGGTTGTTGTGAGTTTCCTGGGCTGTATGGCCATGCTCCAGAAGCATTCTCTCCTGATGTTTCACCTGCATCTATGGCAGGCATCCTCAGAGGTTGTGAGACCTCACAATCTCTGAGGATGCCTGCCATAGAAGCAGGTGAAACATCAGGAGAGAATGCTTCTGGAACATGGCCATACAGCCTGGGAAACTCACAACAACCCATTTTGTATTGTTTTGAACCTGTCTCTCTTTGAAGCCTAAACCAGAGTCAGGTTATATACAACAAAACTAAACAACTGATGCAACAACATAATCACAAGTTTACATTTAAGGGGTAACCCTGAGGCCCAGTAACTCAACCAAAAAAGGGAATAATTGGGGGAACAAGTGCAAGACTGTGTTCTCATATGTTATCTTTGGATTTAAAAATAGTGTTCCTTTCATAATTATTACAATCTTAGTATTTATATCACCTTACTCAACATTATCACAAACTATTGTCGAAGGCTTTCATGGCTGGAATCACTAGGTTCTTGTGGGTTTTTTCGGGCTATAGGGCCATGTTCTAGAGGCATTTCTCCTGACGTTTCGCCTGCATCTATGGCAAGCATCCTCAGAGGTAGTGAGGTGTTATCACAAACTGATTAGTTTTTAACTTGATTCTCATTATCTATATATGCACTGGCATTAGCTATTAAATAGATAAATAAGGCCATGATTATTATTTTTAAGTTGTAGAAATGTGTTGATAATTAACAAAAGAACCTGTGTTCCTCCTTACAGCATCTTGGGAATGCACATCTTTGGCTGTAAATTCAGCCTCAGAACTGACACAGGAGATACAGTACCTGACCGAAAGAATTTTGACTCTCTCCTTTGGGCCATTGTCACTGTGTTTCAGGTGAGTCCAGAACAGGACAAAAGGAAAGGACTGAGATATGATCTGCAAAGAAAAATGTGAGGTTTGATCTGTCATTGGGAGTAATGCTATGTCTAATTGTTTAAAAAAAACATATTGGAACAATGTCTTTTTCAGGCCAACTCAAGACTCAGCAAATCAGATGATTACTTTCCCCCCTATACATTAATGAGGCTTGAGGGAGGGGAAATCAAAAGTGAAAACAACTTGATTTTGAAGTACAGTAGAGTCTTACTTACCCAACATAAATGGGCCCGCAGAACTTTGGATAAGCAAAAACATTGGATAATAAGGAGGGATTAAGGAAAATCCTATTAAACATCAAATTAAAATATGATTTTACAAATTAAGCACCAAAACATTATGTTTTACAACAAATCGACAGAAAAAGCAGTTCAATACATGGTAACGTTATGTAATAATTACTGTATTTATGAATTTAGCACCAAAACAGACAACAGACAATTTAACACCAAAACAGGCCCATAACCTGTTGAGATTAATTTCACAATTCAGCAGCAGATCAGTGGCACAACTTCAGCGCTTTCCAGTAGCTTCTTCCTGCACAGTATTTTCAGTCAACTGCTCCCACAAACTGCAGTCACTCTGGAACTCTTTTACAGACACTTGAGCACATGCCCGGCCATTGTCAGTTTTACTATTGTTTTCCCCTCCAATCTAGATGACACTACAAACTTACCACAGCACACGGTTATATCTTGTCTTAGCAGACAGGTTCTTTTAATCAATTACATAGAGCCTTCGACGAACAGCATCACAGCACAAGGAGATACACTCTACATGACTTCCTTATATACAATTCTATACAATTACACATAGCAATCTCTGATTGGTTCCCAACTCATTAACTTAACTCAGACCCAGGATTACATCATTCACAATCACCTGGACTAGGCCAGAACACATTCCCCAAATGAATCCCTATATACAGTTAATACATGACTCAGCATTTCCAATAGAAGCCTATTAGCAGTGCCTGACTCAGCTATATTACATTACAATACATTGTAAAACCTGACAAGTTCTCTCTTTCTTCCTCCCTGGACATTATTCCGGGTGTATTGAATAATACAGAATGTTGGATGAGTGAAGGTTGGATAAGCAAGACTCTACTGTAATAATGTCAACATTATTTAGATCCCAATTTCTGAAAGTAGAAAGGTGAGCTGTTACTTTCAAATGTCTCCATACAACAAAATATAGGACATCCTTCATAGTGGAAAATCTCTTCATTCCAGCAGTCCTACAGGTATCCTGAATCTAGTACATTACTTGGATGAATTTAACTGAACATTAGCAGTTTTCTTCTGCATTCATTGAAGACTGTGAAGTAGCATATCAAATAAATCTTCAATATCAAATAAATCTTTTCCTCTGCTTCCCCAGCTTCCATCCACACACCTGCTTTTGGTACTGTCTTGCATATCTGGAGATTTCAAAAGCTTGCCCATTGTTGGTGACCTTTGAGCTAGCCTTATAAAGATACTTCCTTAAGAATGGATTTTGGATTTTTTTTCCCCTTATGAACAATACAACTGTCTCTTAACAGTGTCTTCGTAAGTCCAAAGTGCACACAGACCCACTGTGCCATCAGTCGCAATCTGCTATTGTTTGTGACCATAGCCGTGCCTCTCCTAACAGAGCTGCATTGTATCGGCTGCTCTCCAGTGGACTGTGAATGACAACTGGCTGTATTTCAGAGAGTGCCTGTGGCATTGGCATAGTATGACACAGCGTGGTGCATTGCTTCATAAAAATCATGTCATGATAAGAAAAAGTTCACACATATGAATGGACTCTCAAAGATAGAAACAATTAGAGATTATTTTTCCATTGGTAAACACATCTTTTTCACCCTGAAACCTCTTTGTTTTGACCTGACTTTACAAGTTTGGGTCCTGTTTTATATATATCTCTCATGACAGAAGTGTATAAAAGTTTGCATGATGTGAAGAAAGGTGACATATTTTTCTGCTTGTTGCATCATAATACTGAAGCTGAACAATGGGAGATTCAGGTCAGATAAAAGAATGTACATCCTTGTACACAAACACATAATTGAACTGTGGAATTTAATCTGGAGATTAAACAGTGGAATTAAACTGTGAGGTTTACTATCACAGTATTGGCTTCCAGTGTGAATGTTTTCGAGAGGGGATTGGTCAAGCTCATGGAAGATGGAGCTATTAGTGACTACCAGTTGAGATGGTTGTACTTCCATTATCAGAGACACTGTGCCTTTGTATTTAAGATTAAAACTACACTCAGGGCATCATGGCAAATTTCCCATGAGTAATTGATTATCTGGACCCAACATGGCTTTTCTTCTTGTCTTTTTATATATTTCAGATCTTGACTCAGGAGGACTGGAATGTTGTGCTATATAATGGCATGGCCTCAACTTCACCGTGGGCATCCCTGTACTTTGTGGCTCTCATGACATTTGGCAACTACGTTCTCTTCAATCTGCTTGTGGCCATCTTAGTAGAAGGATTCCAGGCCGAGGTGAGTTGCTATAGAAACTGTTTCCGGGGAAAAGGGATTATGGCCAATTAGAGAGAAGGCATGGTAAAGCATCAGATGTTTTGTAATTCTCCCTTTATGTCAACTTTCCTCAACCTTATGCATTGTATCATACCAGTGATGACAACAGAGTTGGTGTCATTCAGTGTGATAACTCATAGTGTCACCCCCCATGGACCTCCTTCAGTACTAGATCAGAACATAATATTGTAGGTAAAATACCAGAAAATCAACAAAATCAGCAGCTGTAAGAAACCAAGAGCAATGAAAACAACAGTGTGTGCTGGTAGTACTTGTGAATGAAATCACAACAAAGTATAATTGTTATTGGATAAAAATATCAACTTTGAACAGAGTTCATGCACATTAGAAAGTTCAAAAATAATTCAGCATATTTATCTCTATGAACTAAAGGTGGGTTCAAGAAAAAATGTTTTTCTGGATATAACTAATTGCAGAGAATTTTGGAAGAAAATAATACGTTTCTGCTGAAACGTTGCCCAAAATAAATTACAGATAGTCATTTTGGTGTCAGCCCATCTGATAGTGTTGTCCAATGCCTTGCTAGTAATAACAGTATGTTAAATTACTTCTCAAAATGTTGTAGGACATCAGGTTGAGGAATGCTTTTCTCACGTGTCCATGAAGGATTACCAACAAATGGGTGCATTGGATGCCCAGAAGAATGAGTCAGCCTTATATCCTCCATTCTGTGGCATATCATCCTAGCATTTCTATGGGAGAGATTGCCCTGTCTTAAGAATTCCCTTCAAAAAATCTGGAATCACAGGAAAACATCTTTGCTCGAAGGATGCTCACAATTCCCAGGTCTTTGATTTTATTTTTCCAACACAGGGTGATGCTAACCGATCATTTTCAGATGAAGATCAGAGTTCATCAAATACTGAAGAGTTTGATAAGTTCCAAGATGCCCCAGGTAGGACTATGAGGTATATCCATGTTGCATGGCTATGAATGCAGTGCAAATTCCAGCCATTTATCAATTTGTTGCTTCACCTGTGACCCCTTCCAATGCTTGAGGATATCAGTTTGTAATAATTATGGATAAATTAAGAAATCCTTAAGATACATATTTTCCCCATTTATAAGGTTTGCTTATAGTATTTGTCTTCTCAGCTCAATCACCAACACTATATCCAGTTACCTATGAGTAAGCCCCACTGATCTAATTGGGGCTAACACTCGAGTAGGACTTGGTTATTGATTTTAAAGTCTTATAGAAAGGCAATTTTTCTGTCCCTCCAGAAGAAAAACATATTTGACAGGAGTGTGAGGGGAGGGCCTTCTTAGTGGCTGCTCCTATGTTCTAGCATTCCACAAAACATAATGTCAAGCTTTTGACATAATGTCAAAAAAGAAGCACCATTAAAGCCTTGGCAGACCGTGCAAAAAGAATCTGTGAACCCCACCTCCTCCAAGATGAACTGAACCACCTCAACTGGGCTCTCCAGGCCAATGGATACTCCACCTCAGACATCAGAAGAGCTGCAAGACCAAAAACAAGCCACGAGAGTAAGATGAAGATCCACCCAGAGGAAAAGTGTTCCTGCCATACATCAAGGGAACCACTGACCGCATAGGGAAGCTGATGAGGAAACACAACATACAAACAATCTACAAACCCACCAAGAAAATCCAACAAATGCTACGTTCAGCAAAGGACAAGAGGGATCCTCTAACCTCTGCAGGAGTCTACCGTATACCATGCAGCTGTGGACAAGTCTACATAGGGACCACCAAACGCAGCGCCCAGACACGCATCAAGGAACATGAAAGGCACTGCAGACTACTTCAACAGAGAAGTCAGCCATAGCAGACCTGATGAACCAACCTGGACACAGCATATTATTTGAGAACACAGAAATGCTGGATCACTCCAACAACCACCATGTCAGACTACACAGAGAAGCAATTGAAATCCACAAACATGTGGACAATTTCAACAGAAAGGAGGAAACCATGAAAATGAACAAAATTTGGCTACCCGTATTAAAAAATCTCTAAAATTGAAACAACAAAACAGCAGAGGGAAAACAATCAGGGACATCTAATCACCTCTCAACAAAAGATTGCTCCAGGCACTGTCAGCCCATTGTATGCTAATCAAGGTGGTCAGTTGAAAGATTCACACCTAGCCCAACTTACAAAAGCCCTTTGTCTCACCCTGGTCATTCCACAGATATATAAACCCCTTTTTCCCCAGTTTCCAGCAGACCTCACCTCTGAGGATGCTTGCCATAGATGCAGGCGAAACGTCAGGAGAAATGCCTCTAGAACATGGCCATATAGCCCGAAAAAAACCCACAAGAACTGAATAATGTCAAGCTTGTCTGCAGGCACATACATTTTTTTTATTTAACCCTTTGACTTTATCATGTTTCTGAATCAGGTATAAACCAATGAGTGCTGTTAATCTCCTTTTTAATTGTGTTTTTACATTATTTATTTTTATTGTTTAGTTATAATTCTGTATTTTATTACCTTTAGCCACCTTGCACACTATTTTAAGTGTGTATCTGTGTCTTGAAGTCACCTAACATCCTATAACGACCCTATAACAATCTCATAGGTTTTTCTTTGGCAAGATGGTTTTGCTGACTCCTTGCTCTGAAATATAACCTACACCATTTGGTATTCATTGGTAGTCTCCCATTCAAGTAGTCACCAGGGCTGATCCTGCTTAGCTTCCAAGATAAGACAGGATTTGGTACCTTTTGGGCATTTAGACTCTACGATCTCAAGTAGAAAGGTGGAATGCAAATACAGTATATTCTGGCGTATAAGACTACTTTTTAACCCAAGAAAATCTTCTCAAAAGTCAGGGGTCGTCTTATACGCGGGTGTAGTCTTATGCATGGGAGTCGTCTTAACTCTATATTTTAACTGGAAAAGTTGGGGGTCGTCTTATACGCCCAGTCGTCTTATATGCCGGAATATACGGTAAATTGTTTGTGACTCATTTTGCTGAAAAATGTTGGGTCACACTTAGAATTTAGACTGTGAACATGTGTGTCATTTTACAAGTGTTTATCTTCCTTAGCTCAGCAGATGGTTTGGTTACAAAAAGGCATCCCATAATTCACTTGCATTTCTAGCTGCAAAAGGCGAAATTGTGACAACACTTCATCAGAGGATGTTTACTACCATATCTTTTGGCCTTGCTGTGGCCGAGATCCTGTTTCTTTACTCTGAAAGGCATATAGTTTGGTTCAGATTGCAACAGTGATTTCCTAGACATGCTTGGTAACAGGAAGGCAGTTTTCTTTTTCAAATAGTTTCACTGCAGCTAGAATAATGATGATAAGGATGCTGAAACTGCTGATGAAGCTGGGCTGCCATACCAAGTTTCAATCAAACCCCCATTGTTCAAATTGCTCAAACAGGTCAAAGAGAAATGTAAAACATCTAGTAGCTACTGACAGGAAATGTTAAAACTTTGGATTCAAGCATCAGTAAAATCAGTTTATACTCAAAGACAAAATGGAAGACAATACCGTGCATGGTAGTCAGTATTTCCTCCACTTTGCTGTCAGTCAAGGTCTGTGCAATGAGAAAATGTTTGCCAGGTTAGAACAAACAGGCCACTTAGAAGCCTGAAATATTACAGCAGATTGTGAACTAAGAACAAATTGCTTTTTCACTTTGAACTCAATTTGATAGAAGTAAGCTGATCACAAAGCAGGAAAGTAGGCAGAAGAAAGAGAAACTGAGACAAACTGGGGTGATAGCAAATCAATGAAGAGGATTGTCCCTGACAAATTAGGACATTTGGATAGTATGAAGCAACTGGTTTTAAAAGAAAGTGGCCTTTTTCCAAAGGAGAAGAGAGACGTTAAACATTGCCAGCCTTCACCAGGAGAGATATGAAGCATTGTTAGCAGAAGCTTTTCAGTGAGTGGGAGAAAAGCTTTCTTGTTTGGTTTTGTTTTGCTGTGTATATTCTTCTCTGTGCTTTTATGCCTTGACTATGGAAATAGCTCTGAAGCCTATAGAGAATCTATGTACCTGGCAAAGAGAAAGGAATATATTGTTCTCTCCTTATCTTTTGTGGTTTTCTGATCAGATCCAAAGCTTTGCACAATCCCCATGACCCCGAATGGACATCTTGATCCCAACTTGCCTTGTCTCAACCAGCCTGGGGCAACTGCTGGAATTGCTAATCCTTCATGCAATGCACTACAGCCAGATAAAATCCTTGTGGCCCATGAATCCAGGAAAAGCAGTGTGATGTCTTTGGTGAGTCAATTTAAATGTAGTATGTTTTTTTCCAAATGTACTGATCCTAATTTCCAGTCTGTACCAGAAAATGTGGTTTTAGGCTTGATGGCACACAATAACATATTCAGACTATGTGGTTTGCTACTGAGCTATTTCTCCCAAGCTTGCAAGTGGCTACTTCTTCCAGGTCTTCTAGACCCCTCCTTACATATTTCCTGCTGCTTCTACAGTATTTCTACTGACTCCACCCATCTAATAATAATAATAATAATAATAATAATAATAATAATAATAATAATACATCACACAAATCTAGACACTTGGGAAGTGTTCGATTTGTGATTTTGTGATACGAAATCCAGCATATATATCTCGTTTGCTGTGACATGCAGTGTTTTTGTGTCAGTAAAATAATAATAATAACTTTATTTTTGTACCCTGCCTCCATCTCCCTGAAGGGACTCGGGGCGGCTTACATATGGCACAAAGTGCCTAAAACAACACATAAAATAAACACACAGTACAATACAAAAATAAAACCAATCTATATAAATAAAATGTAATATTTGTTTGTGGGATTAACATAACTCAAAAACCACTGGATGAATTGACATCAAATTTGGACACAATACATCTATCAGGCCAATGAGTGACCATCACTCATAAAAACACTGGAAAACACAGCGGAAGAGACTTTAAAAGCCAAAAAATAAAAATATGCTAAAAACCACATATATACACATATACACAAATATATACACACACATATACACATGTATACACACACACAGCACATATACACAGACTGGGCGACAGCAACACATGGCAGGGAACGGCTAGAATAATAAAAAACAATAATTAAACTCAGAACAGTGCCCAATAACCTATGGTGAGAACTGTCATAAAACATGGCCAACTATAAACAAGAACAAGGGAATGGGATAGTGCAAGTGGTAGCTAATGAACAAGGGCATGGGACAAAAGTGCAATGTTGTGTCATTAATTGTGGACCATTGGGGATAGACATGATAAGGATGCTCAAACTGCTGATGTTTGGACAAGCCCAAAAACTTGTCAAAACATCCAAGTCTTCACATCCCTCTGGAAAGAGGACAGTGTGGGGGTCTGCCTAATCTCTCCGGGGAGGGCATTCCAAAGCCAGGGGGGCAGCACTGAGAAGGCCCTCTCCCTCGTCCCCACCAACCATGCTTATGATGGTGGTAGGACCATGAGGAGGTTCCTCCCCTTTCATTATACATTATCAATTGATTGGTGCTAGCCAAGTTCCTAGTGGATGGTAGCCAGTGTGAACTGTAAGTAAATTGTTATAAAAATGAAGCCAAAATGATGCAATCCATATTTCTTGCCAGCCTTTCTTTTTCTCACTTAAAATATCTCAAGGACTGAAAGTCAATATGATGATGCAGACAGTCTGAGACCCTGCAGATACTGTCAAACTACAGCATTCATCTTCTGTGACTACTATCCATGATAACTAGGGACCAGTAGGTTTTGTAGTCCAGGGACAACAGGAGGGGCACAAAATGCACACCCTTGATGAAGTTGGAGAAGAGAAATTCTGTTAAAATACTAACCCGGTCAAAAGTTCAGTACGTGCTTTAAACATATGCTCACATGTTTGTACAGTATAATATATGTCAGAGGCTTCTTGTAATGATAAAATTTCAGTGGGGGTGTTATAATTCATACATTCTGTGGAGCAAAGTTTTCATGGCATATTATAAATGGCATTTGAGTTCATGGCGCTCCTACTTATTGTTCACATTATATATTTTTAAAGATTATTGAAATGATAGCCTAGTGGAAACAAAGGAGAGTATGAAGGACATTATAGTTGAACAGTAGCCATAGAAGAAGTGGTCGAGTCCACCATGAGAAACAGAGCCAAAGGGTGGAGTGGATTCTCTCATGCTGTGTTGACTAGGCTAATAGAGCCATTGGTTGGTCCTCCTGTTTATTCCATGATGGATCGGAGCGGGAAAAGCAGCGGAGTAAGGAAGACCCCCTTCTCAGATTGATATTCTTCATAACAGCTTGTAGCAGTTGGTAGGCACCGTTAAAAGCAAACTCGGGAGCATCTGATAAGAAGTAAGGACAATCTTTAATGTGGCTATCACTCAATTCAAAAAATGTTAATTGGCTTAATTATACAGATCACATAAAATCAGCATGAGTAAAAGCAGTAGTTCTGTGTTTTACAAGTAGATGTGTGTGTCATCATCTTAGAAGAAGAAATCACTGTTCTAGAAGTGTGCTTGCCATCATTAGTTTCCATGATTACTTGCAGTCAATTTACATTTTTTAAAAGATACCAGCTACCTAGTTAATCAGGAGCATTTTTTATCTATCAAAATATTATAATTGATTAATCTCACAGACACAGAAATTAATTAAGGAAACCTTGAATATTTCAGTTACTATGTAGTCATTTAGTGTAATTTTGATATGCAGATGTTCGTTATGGCACTCCCCAGAACCAAGCTCCCAAAAAGAGTCCATTAATGTAGACAGCTACGTTGGTTCTGTACCAAGATCAGAAATCCAAGCATTGTTAGACTGCAAATCATAGCAGGCCAGGCCAGTGTAGCCAGCGGTCAGGAATCCTGGAAGCTGATTTTCAAAACTGAATGGCTGCATGATTCCTACCCTGATATATATCGAGAAATCAATTCTGGTAGTTTTTATCTCCACTCAGAATCTCTTATAAATTTGATGAATCTGGATTACCCATTCAGAACCAAACCACCACTATATTCTTCACATTAAAACAGAAATAGCATATAACAATATATTGCTGGTTAAATCCATTCCAGCTTCTGTGAGATGAGACACTAAGATCAGAGGTAATAGAGGTGTTTGAGGGGAATAGTAGGTAATCCCCTGCTAATCAAAAATTCTTGCCACTTGAACTCTAAAACACTGATTCCCTTATACAACTATCAGTAAATAATATGCAGCGTATATAAAATACTACTGAACTTGCATTATTATGTTTGCCATTACAAAATTCCAAGATGTGAAATTCGGTTTGAGAGAGGGATAATTTTAGATATGTCTCCTTGAGGGAAAATGTGGACTCATCCAAGTTTTCTGTTTGGGTGGAGATTCTGAATTCTATCTTGGCTCTCCCACAGTCCAGCTCTCGCAGTACTCACTATGGAGCATGGAGTCGGGCTGGGGGCTGGGGAAGTCGACGCTCCAGCTGGAACACTCTTGCACGGGGACATAGCCTCAAACACAAGCCTCCTTCAGCTGAGCATGAGTCACTCTTATCTGGAGATAGACACAGGACATTAGAGGGAGAACGAGAACTACCAGTAAGAATTCATCACCATCGACGGACACTCTCCTTGGATATCAAAGGCACTTCTGAACTAGTGGAGTTGGTGCCATCAGCACCATCTTGTCACAGGCCATCACGGAAAACAGGTGTGACAACAGGGCCTACTGAGCATCAGGACTGCAATGGTAAAATGCCCAACATTGCTAAGGACATCTTTCCAGAAATGAACAATCGCAAGGACCATGGAGAAGATGAGGAAGAGATAGACTATGTGAGTACTTGTTTTTTCACTAAAGCAATATTAAAAGCTTGCAGAATTGATAACTATTGTGGCGGATAAGAGGGTGAACTAGACCAAATCAGAACTGCTGCACAGCAATATAAAAGAGGGAATCATGAATTGAAAGTTCCTGGGAAGTAACTTCGAAATAATCTGTTTTTATGGAATGCTTTCCACACTGTAGTTTCTGCAAAGAAACCTATAGGTTGGATGGGGTGGACAACTTGGTGACCTTCAGAGATTTTGGACTGATAGTTTTATCATACTGCACTTTTATAATGCTACATTCCACTTTAACTGACATGGCAACATCCTTTGGAATCCTAAGGTTTGTAATTTAGGGAGGGCCATTTCTACTTCTCAGCTAGAGAGCTCTTGGGCCTCACAAAACTTCAAACTCCAGAATTCCACAGGGTGTTGCCATGGCAGTTAAAATAAAATATAATAGTGTAGCATGATGAGCACCTACAGTTTCCAGAACCTCCCACCATCATGCCCAGTGTTCATGGATATGAGAGATCCCTCCCCCAAACATCTGGTGGAGAAGAAAAGATTGCCTACCTCTGACTATTAGGAACACTATATACAGTTCAGAGAGCTTTTGAGGGATCCCATGTTTTGCAGAATGCCCAGGCCCTAGACTCAGCAGGATTCCTGATTGCACTGAAATTCAGTTTAGAGATAACAGAAATTTTAGTGGGCAAGCTCCTTTACCCACCAAACTCTTCATTGCAGCCAATAAGAATGAGAAAACTATTTGAATGTCTACTGTTGGAAAATCTGCAATGCAACTCAATGCACCATAGCTCAGAAATATGTCTTGCTGTATTTCTCTTAAGTAATACCACATAGACTTCAATCTTTCAGCTAATGATAACTCTTGAATTGAGTAGGGTATGACCTTGCCAAAGTGGTGCAAGAAAGTACCCATGTGTATTCAATTCATACATCATCAATGCTTTCTGCCAAATAAGCCAATTTTTCCTAGTTTGTTTGTTTGTTTATAGAGCCAGCATGGTGTAGTGGTTTGTGTATTGGAGTAAGATCCCAGGAAACCGGGATTTGAATCCTTGCTCATCCATGAAAACACATAGGGTAATGTTGAGCAAGTCACATTCTCTCAGTTTGAGAGAAGGCACTTTGAACAAGCCTTGCCAAGAAAAATTTGCCTTTGCATCAGCATCACTTGAAAATTATTTAAAAGCACAGAACAACACAGTTTGTTTATAACTCTCAAAACAGGGTTCCAGTAGACTTGACCAAATATGAAATTCCTGCAGCAGTAAGGTGGAGTTGGGAGAGCTCATCTTTGAAAGACAGTGTTTTGTGTTTTTTCGATAGCTGATGCCTGTCAATCATGCTAACTCTGTGGCATAATCAGCGATGTTTTCAATCTAAGTCAGAATAGCAGTGCTGATTCTCCACATTCTAGGAGGTAAATTAGCTCATTACTCCTGCCAGGTTGACTTTGATGACCTTGGAGTTTTTCTCCAGACTTACAGATCAGAGTGGAACTTCTCTGGATATTCTGTGCATGCCCTCAGCATCCTACGGCTGTAATTCACAACATTTTGTTATCTTGCAAAGGGTGTGGTGGGTAGATAGTGAATGATCTTTAGAGATAAGGAAACAGGAATTGGAAAGATTCCCAGTTATTACTGTGCTAGCCATGAAGGTGGTGAAAGCAAGTCATGTTCATGGACAAAAGCCAAGAAAACGGCACTTCTAATGTTCTGCTTCTGTTTTGCAGAGCCTGTGTTTCCGTATCAGAAAGATGATAGAAGCCTACAAGCCAGACTGGTGTGAGTTGCGGGAGGATTGGTCCATCTATCTCTTCTCACCTCAAAACAAGTAAAGATTCATTTACTTCTGGTTAGTTGGTAGTTAGGTAGATAGGTAGTTAGTGTGAAGTCACCATGGTGAATTCAAATTCCAAGATAAAGGGTTATAAATTACCTTTAATTCTGCAAGCCCATCTGTGAAAGTACACAACTAGCTTCTCCATTATATCTTCAAATAAAACCAAAGCAAGCTTTTACATTCTGCAGGGAAAGGCTTTCTCTCAGTCCCACCACCTTTTCACATGTACTTGGTGAGAACTTGGAAGAGAGCCTTCTCTGTGGCTTCCCTCTCCCCCATTTGGCCCCGTCCTTTCACTGGCAGGTAACAATATTTTTATTTAGGCAGACATTTGAATTGCAAATTTTAATTATCAAATTGCTGTGTGTCTGTGTGTGCAATTGATGTGCTGCTTTAATATTTTCAACCTGTGTGCTATTTTACAATGTTTTAAATTTATATTTTAAATGTTTTCAATTATGAATATCATTTTTTAACAAAACCAATTATTTCATTTCTTCTTAGCTTTTGTAATTTAATGTTTAACTTCATTCCTTTTAAATAATTGCAAGTCACCTTGGATCTTAGCTTGAGAGAAAGACAGGGTATAAATACAATCAATCACACAATGTGAAATTAATAGTAATAATGTAATTGTTTCGATGATGTTCTCTCTCTCTCTCTTTCCTATCTTGCTGCTCTCCCCATTTCAAAATACTTTTCTAAATCTACCATTTTGTATAACAATAAAAATAAGAGTTCGCTTTGTCAAATAGGAAATGTTCCCCATTTCAAAAATGGGAAGTTCTAAAATGTTGTCATGAACGAGAATTGGTTAAATTACTTGCACAACCTTTAAATAAAATCCTAAGAACTTGGAGACATGACATTTAATAGCTGACACAGGCAGTAATTTCTTTCATCTCCAATCTCTTCAGAACTTTGACAGTGTTCTTGCAGCTTACCAGAAACATGTATAGTGTAAAAACAAACTCTCTATCTTGCAGGTTTCGCATCCTCTGCCAAACTATCATTGCCCATAAGCTGTTTGATTATGTTGTCCTGTCCTTCATTTTCTTGAACTGCATCACCATTGCCCTGGAGAGACCTCAGATTGAGCATGGGAGTACTGTGAGTAGTCTTACACCATGATCTGTCCCAGTTTCTTGCTTCTTTACACCAGTCTGGAATAGTTCTAAGGGTGGATGTAAATGGTAAACTTTGTTAAACAACAGCACCATGATTCCATAGCACTGAGCTATGGCAGTTAAACTGGTGTCAACCCGCATTAATTCTAGGTTCTAAGAGACAACCATCAAAATAATCACATTCGCTGTTCACTATTGTGTGTCATGCATTTTATGGATTATCATAGGTTAATGAAAATATTCCATATAAAATAGATTTGACAGGGGATAAAAAAACGTCTTTTTTGGTAGAATTCCACATTGTTTGAATGGGTATTATCTTGCTTGATGAGAGATTGTCTTCTTGCCCAGTGCCCCTCCAGAGGAGATATTGAAGGCATAGGGGGAGTTGCAGTTGAGTATTTCTGTAGGTAATAGGACAGGACTTAATTAGTACAGATTTGTTTTGTGTGACCGAAGTAGATACAGTGTGTTACAGATTAATTAGCTGACTAGAAATAATGTTTCTGAACACATCTGTGGTTAAAATTATGGTGCTTCTATTCTCTATTAGAAATTTATTTCTGATTCTTTTGCATGAAATATAAGAGCACATATTTGATAAAATGCCTATGATTCATATAAATATAATATTTGACAACGTATCTAATCTACATGAAAAAAATGCTTCCTATCCTAAGCATCAAGATGCTACATTTTCCCCTTGCTAGATTAAGTTCCAATTAATTTTTTTGTTTATTACGATTCCACATAGATGCAAAGCATCAGACTGTTCATAATAACCTCGCCCTGTACATGACAGCAATGAAGAAGAAATTATGTACTTCTATTTGCTCTTAGTATTATTGGAATTAGCTTTTAAATGTATCATTGGGAGAACGCATACCAAAAGCTGTTTTCCCATTCCCGAGACAAGACTTATGAACCACCACACGTGAGTCATGACTATGTAACAGAGGCAAAACAACCATTGCCATAAATATCAGTGTTCCATATTTTTCAGTAACTGGAAAACTAATTATGTAAAATAGGGTAACATAGGATGAATCCAGTTTTTGTCTATACACAAAACTTCCCATTTACCATAAGTGTACTGTGTGGCTAGAAGTCCATCTAGTACTGCACGGGGCCAACAGTTTCACATGAAATGGTAGAGCACATAGATTGCACACAGGAATTCCCATAAACAGCCCATGTTCAAACAGAAAGTGACTGGAACATCTCCGCTTGAGACTCAAGACAACTACTTTTGGTCAAGGTAGACAAGTTTGTCAGATGGACATCCCATCAGTCTTCCACATTTATAAGTTTGATTTTTTTCGGATGTATTATTCATAGATTAGATTAACATGTTCTTTCTAGGAATCCCTAGGTCCTTCAATGGAATTCTGTGATCACCTTTCAGCAGAAGTTGATCATGGAGTCATGTTGGAGGTCCTAGAAATTTCTAGAGAAATGTTCTCTCAAGTAAAAATCAATAGCATTTTGTATGCATGGGTTTTCACTTTCATTGGAGTCCTGTGCCCCTAAGCCCAGTGAATGTGGAGAGATGACTGTATTCATATGTTGCTATGAACAATTTTCCTTAACCTTGTAAGCTGCCTTCTGTCTTATGTTGGGAGACATCTCGAAGAGCCATATACTTGAATGAGCTGTGGCCTCCATGAATCTGGAGTTTCTGTTATCTGTTCAGTAGTTTGATGGGCCACTGTTAGGATTTCCAAGCCATATCTTTTTGTTTAAAAAGGAAGACAGCAGTCACTGAAATTGTTTTGCTCCATCTACGTCCATTAGAAGTAGATTAGGCCACTAGATTAAACTAAAAGACAGCCAATTAAGCTTTAAGGTGATGGACAGATTGATGCTTCTTGGCAAGTGTCTCTAAAGAAGTTTAGACTGTCATTCACTCAGTTCTTAACATAAGTCTTGGTAGTTTTTGCCAAGTTTATAATTTAAATAATTTAAATTGCACAATGCTTGCCAGATATATTTTGAGGCTGCCTTTGATTGTTCCAGGAAAGAATCTTCCTCACGGTATCCAATTACATCTTCACAGCAATCTTTGTTGCTGAGATGACACTGAAGGTAAGTCATCCACTAATAATGGATGCCAAGCTATCCCACAATGATTGCCCAACTAACCTCTTTCCTACTTTCAGCCTGCCAGAGAGCCAAAAGTTCCTTTTTCTTGATAAAACTGAGTGAAAAAGAGATGCTATTTCCACAAATATTTTCACTGAATTATGTATTTCCTTTATTAAACTTCCCCTCTGACAAGCAACATGATAGAAGCCATTCAGTTCACTTTGTATATGCTTTGATTGTGCTCAGTGACACCAGCATTAGCCAGGTCTCATTATCTATGTAGTACAGTAGAGTCTCACTTATCCAACATAAATGGGCCAGCAGAACGATGGATAAGCAAAAATGTTGAATAACAAGGCGGGATTAAGGAAAAGCCTATTAAACGCCAAATTACATTATGATTTTACAAATTAAGCACCAAAATATCATGTTTTACAAGAAATCGACAGAAAACGTAGTTCAATACATGGTAACGTTATGTAGCACCAAATTTAGCACCAAAACATCGCAATGTATTGAAATAGCTGTGGAGCCAGACAGGAAGCAGATTGTGTAGGATAATACAGAAAGTTGGATGAGCGAAGGTTGGATAAGCGAGACCCTACTGTAACTGTGATATCATCAGAGTTATTATGTAATTCCTGATTGGTTAGAATCACGTCAGACATAAAACTAGGTATGCAATGTGGGAATGGCACCCAGTTATAGCAGATAAGAGAAATATAGTTGTTGTTGTTGTTGTTGTTGTTACATTTATTATACCCTGCTTTATATCTCCTGAAGGGGACTCAAAGCTGCTTGACATAAAAATGTTAGCACAGCATTTACAATATACAAATATAGAAATATTAAAAAATAATTAAATATAAACAGCATTACAAGATTCAGTTAAAACCATTCAAACATATTTGATGCATATTCAAAGATAAAACCACAGCACCCCCTGAATTGATCTTTAAAACCTTCATCTTTAAAAGCCTGCCTGAATAGAAATGTTTTAGTCTTCAGCATCCACATATTCTGCATACATGGATTCAACTATCCACAACTTGGATATCTTTTTTAAAATCCAAAGGGTAAATCTTGATTTTGTTATTTTGTATATGGGATATCATTTTCCTATGCTGAGATAGATAGATAGATAGATAGATAGATAGATAGATAGATAGATAGATAGATAGATAGATAGATGGACTTGAGCATTCATGGATTTTGGGATCAGTGAAAGAGCCTAGAAACAAATTCCAGTCGATACCAAGGACCCATTATAACAAAACTCTGTGAAGATGAAAGGTGGAAATTCTCATATTTCCAGGATGATTTCCAGGAAGTATTTATAACCTTGCCTGCAAAAAATAAAAATGGCAAATGTACAGCATTGGCCTACTTCAAGTTTTTGCAGTGCTATTTTTTACGCTTTCCTCCCACAAGTTGGCATTATTAAGAGTAGTGAAAATTAAAACAGTTTCATTTGCAAATCTTAGTAATGCAAAGCTCATAATTAGCTCTGTGACAATAAAGGAATATATAACATTCCTATGAAGAGACATGAGTGGGTATGAGAACATTATCAGGCCCTTGATGGCTGCAGGCAACTTTTTAAAATTTCATTGCTAAAGGAAGAGCAGTCAGTACCTCCAGTGTTTCATCTTCTATTCCCCAGAATTGATTTTAGATGAATAATGTGATAACAGTGTGATCATCAGTTTTCCATCAGTCTCTTGCCAATTGTTAACGAGAATTCAGTGCCAAAATGAAATTGGAAAATCTTTGCACTGTGCTTCTGTAACGGTATAGACTTGCTCTTCCAGTTTGTCTGTCTAATTCTGCATACCCATTTATTCCCTCAACTCCTCTAGGTAGTCTCCCTTGGCCTATATTTCGGGGAGCAGGCCTATCTCCGCAGCAGCTGGAATATCCTTGATGGCTTCTTGGTGTTTGTATCCATCATTGATATTGTGGTTTCAGTTGCATCTGCTGGGGGAGCCAAGATTCTGGGGGTGTTGCGTGTTCTCCGACTGCTCCGCACTTTGCGCCCCCTCAGGTGAGATCTAAGGGGTAATGTACCTCCTCCTCTCCTGCATTATTGTGTTATGCCTTTAAGTGTTTCCATCTAGGGCATTTCTAAAGTGAATCTTGCCAGGATTTGTACAGAGAGAGGTTGCTTTTGCCTCCCTCAGAGACAGATATCCAATGACTTGCCCAAGGTCACCCAGTGGGTTTGCATGGCTGTGTGGGATTTAAACCCTGGTCTCCAAAACTGTAGTGCAACACTGATGCCACTGCACTACTCTGGCACCCTTCTCTTGCATGACAACCCAAAACATCATGTTTTACAACAAAACAACAGAAAAAGCAGTTCAATATATGGTAACTTTATGTAGTAATTACTGCATATTACTACAAGGGTGAACAAAGGGGGCAAGGGTGAACAAAGAATCCCACCGCTGCCACCAGTATAACGACATTAAGGCTGACCATAAGTTGAATATAACAATGACCGATGTTCTTGTTAGGTATGACTGCCACCACCTCAGAATTATTGGTCTGAGGAACCAAAAGGTGTGAATGTGTTGTAGGTAAGGTGTGTTTGAGCTCTTGGTTCTTCTATTGCTTCTTCACTGGATGACTGGACTTTAAAGGGTTTGACAGACTTAGTTCTGAGGAGATGGATAGACTGAGGCATACACCAGTTAAAAGTGAACTAAGAAAGATTTATTGATCTTTAAACAAATATCTACTCATATAATGAGCGGTACAGGAGCGTAATTCAGTAGTAGAGACTTAGTTACTTAAACAAGTAGTTCCACTGACAGTAAAGCTTTTATCAACTGTGAGATTCCTTAAACACACTGCTCTATCTTTAGACACAGTATCACTTGAGAACAGACTCCTGTCTGTCTTCCCCACAGGGCTAATAAGCTCTCTTATACTTTTCCTCAGTATAATCAGACAAGTCTTTCTGTTACTGATCCTCTCAATACAGTAACCTTAGCCCTTGTCTGCTGCTTATTCCCTAATCTTAAGGCTCACTTTAAAAACTTTCTTTCCTTGTCAGATTCCTACTGTAGCTTCCTATCTTAAAATCTCATCCCTCTGTGTCTCATGTCAAGACACTTCTCCCCCTTCTATCAATAGCTGACAGACTTTTTCCCTCTCTCAACCGACTCCTCCCCTAATTGCTCTGACCAATCAGGAGTCGGCTTGACTCCTCCTCCTGTTTCTGCCTGCCTTGCAAGATGACAGCTACTGACATTCAGGCTTCGGCCTTGTCGTCTTAAAGGTAGATTTCATTACACTGCATTTACGAATTTAGCACCAGAACATTGCAATGTATTGAAACAGCTATGGACCCAGATGGGAGGCAGACTACGTTGCATAATACAGAACGTTGGATGAGCGAAGGTTGGATAAGCAAGACTCTACTGTAAATACAAATATAGTAACCCAAAATAATCCCACATATAGAGCAACTTAAGCATAGCAACTATAATTTAAATAAAACATAATCAATCAAAAATTATAACTAACATAGAACTTGAACATTAAACATCCAAATTAATATCAAAACAACACGAAGGTTCACAGATGTGTGCATAGATTGTATGATCAAAGTTGTTAAATGGGCTAATGTGATCTAACAAGGCCCGAATGCATTTATACTATCCAACCAGCAGTCTGGTAATAGTTTCTCTTCATCTAATCCTACTCCTGATAGGGTGGTCTCAGCAATGATGTTGAAGTTCCCCAGCACAACTATCCGCTAGGACTCCAACACCAGGCTCAAGACCACCCCAGCTAGCTCAGGCAGGGAGACTGTTGAGCAGCAGGGTGGATGGTACACAAACAGAATCCCTGTTCTGTCCTGGCAATTCACCCTTAGATAGATACTCTCAAATGTGGTCGACTGTGGGATGGGAAGATCTTCAGGTGCCAAGACATTATATAGAATATCAAAGTCAGGCTCACCCATGCCATGCTATTTACACTTTCTGTCTGAACTTGAAAACTGGACAGGAAGAGAATCATTTCATTTGAAGTCTGGATTAGATTTCTACAAATATTATGGTCTGGCAAAAAGACAAATAAATGGGTCTGAGTGCAAATTACACCTAAACTCCCGTTGGAAGCCAAAGTGACCAAACTGAGGATATCCTGCATTGGATAAATTGTAAGATGGCATGACTGGTTGGAAAAGACAATAAAAGTCAAGAGGTGTGAAAAAGAGGAAAACATTACAGATGAACTGACTCAGTCAAGGAAGCCATACCTCTGAGTTTGCAAGACCTGAGCACTGGGCTGTTGATGACTGAGGCTTTTGAGGTCTCTCTTTGATAGGATCATAAATCAAATGTGACGTGATTGTTCTTGCTGAACAAATTTGAGAGGGAAGAAAACAAACTGATCAATTTATTAAGAACTGGATGCGGAGAGCTACAGACCAGCAACATCTGAGTGACTGAACAACACACACACACTGGGTTGCTGTGAGTTTTCCGGGCTGTATGGCCATGTTCCAGAAACATTCCCTCCTAATGTTTCACCCACATGTATGCCAAGCATCCTTAGAGGTTGTGAAGTCTGTTGAAAACGAGGCAAGTGGAGTTGATATATTGGGAATGTCCAAGGTGGGACAAAGAACTCTTGTCTGTTGGAGGCAAGTGTGAATGTTGCTATTGACCACCTTGATTAGCACTGAATAGCCTTTCAGCTTCAAAGCCTGGCTGCTTCCTGCCTGTTGGAATCCTTTGTTAGAAGCTGTTAGTTGGCCCTGATGGATTTCTGTCTGGAATTTCCCTGTTTTTGAGTGTTGCTCTTTATTTACTATCCTGATTTTAGAGGTTTTTTTAAATACTGGTAGCCTGATTTGTTCATTTTCATTGTTTCCTCCTTTCTGTTGAAATTATACACATGTTTGTGGATTTCAGTGGCTGCTCTGTGTAGTCTGACATGGTTGCTAATGTCTAATCAGCAATTTACCGCCTCCCCGAGAAAGAAATGGAGGAAGTAAGACGGGAAACGGTGATGATCCTGAGAAAGGCAAAACTTCCCCCCAGCAACATAACTAGGAAAGAAAAACAAGCCATCAAAGACCTCACAGCCCAGAAATCTCACAGCAACCCTGTGATTTCGGACATGAAAGCCTTCGACAACACACACACACACTGTTTTGACACATGATGGGCTAGAACTGAAACCATATAACTTCCTTAAAATATGAAACAATGTTGAGTTGTTTCACACACACCCATTTTCTTACTTGAATATAATTGTAAATTGGACATAACCTAATAAATTTAGATATTTCCATTTTACTGCACGCACACTTGCCACCAGACAAAACCTCATACATACATGGTAAAACAATCATGTGTCCATACATCTGACAAGGGTCTGGTTGAACATCGTTTCCTACATAGGAATGATATCCTTCTAGGAAATGTAACATGTTGCAATGGCTTTAAGCAACAGCTGCCTCATATGTCTCTGGGGAATTCTTAATACATAGACAGAGACAAACATTTCAGTCTTCCTTCTGGCTGCCCCTCACAGTCCTGTTTTTTTCCAGGGTCATCAGCCGAGCTCCAGGCCTGAAGCTGGTGGTTGAGACGCTGATTTCATCACTCAAGCCCATTGGAAACATCGTTCTCATTTGCTGCGCTTTCTTCATCATCTTTGGCATTCTTGGAGTTCAGGTACTGTTAATGCTATGTCTTAGTTGATGCGTAAGAGCAGTTAAGAAAACATATCCTTGGGCTCAGAGCCATGAACCCTTTTCCTGTTCATATCACAGACCAGAATAAATCATGGGAGATACGTCAAGACAAGGGCAGCAAAAGTGTTGCCTCCTACAAAATTATCTCCTTGGCATCAGCTCAGGGTTGCCATGATTCTGATTCAGGTCCCTTTCTGTAGTCAAACACAGAGTTTCCAGGTGAATGACTACTATAATGTTCTACCAGGCAAAATTATACAACCTCTCCTCCCTCACCCAGCCCAAAGCTCATCTTTTAGCTGTGCATTCTCCTGCAACACAACCATTTATTAGCCAGTGAAGCATCAAGTGATGGAGTAATGATACAGAGGCATCCAGGTGTATTCCTGTTCAACTGGGCACACAGTAAAGAAGGACAATATTAATACTGTGAATCCATGTATAGGATCATAGTTGAATGCTTCTCTACTATGGCCCCAACTCTCCATTAAGGAGCAGAAAAGACATGTTATATGTCTCTGCCTAGCAGAATCTGGTGCTACGCATTTCTGCTGCAGATTCTGTTAACTATTAAAGATACAGGATTCCTGTCCCATATTCAAATTGGTGATCCTAATCTGAGATTAAATCCACAGAGAAATTAAGGTAGAACAAAACAAAAAGAGAAATTAGATAGAACAAAACCTTTTCAAAACAAGTTTGTACATTCTTCTCATATCTTTCTTTGGGATATTTCCCAAATGCAGTGGTGCAGTGGGTTAAACCACTGAGCTTCTTAGCTTGTTGACCGAAAGGTCGCAAGTTCGAATCCAGACAGCGGTGTGAGCTTCTATTGTCAGCCCCAGCTTCTGCCAACCTAGCAGTCTGAAAACATGCAAATGTGAGTAGATCAATAGGTACCGCTGCGGCAGGAAGATAATGGCGCTCCATGCAGTCATGCCGGCCACATGACCTTGGAAGTGTCTACGGACAATGCTGGCTCTTCGGCTTAGAAATAGAGTCAGACACGACTGGACTTAATGTCAGGGGAAAACCTTTACCTTTACCTTTCAAAGCAATTTGAAACAACAAAAAGACAACTTGCAATTGGAACTGCAGTAAGATTCAACAATATCAGAAAACCCATTGCTGGAATAATAGGCTAATGGATGTTCAGAAACTGAAACAACAGAGCACTTACCTGTTTTAGCAACATTTAATCTCCTTAGTCCCTGACTTTCCCCTATCTTCAAAGTACTGAATCCACCCACAACTGTTTGAAGAGAAAGAAAAGTGATATTCTCTTAATCTCTTTATTTTAGGCTCCTCTGCAAGTGTGGGTAGTGCTTCTGTCATGGTGAGGAATGTGCTATACTCAGTCTGTAGATAGCCAGTTTTGGGGACGGCAGCTTCACAGTTTATAGGAAGTGGTGCAAAGCAGGTGTGCTTCCTGTAACATGTGAAATCACCCTGATCTTTTACAAATGCACAATCCAGTCCTTGCCACATCTTTAAAAAAACAAAAAATCCTGCAGAATAAATTTATTTTGAAGTACATAAGCAGTAGGACTTGTTTTACTAATTTTTGCTCTTCGAAGTAATATTTCTGTCCTTAGAACAACCAATAACTATTTGAGCACCAGCTAAGTCTAGGCTGGCTTGGGGAACAGAACTACTATAATGAATACTTATTCGTTTCCAATAAATGTCAGAGTCATCAGTCACAATGGGCCCAAGTCAAGAATGGTATTAGTGAACTTGAAGTCTTCTAATAGGAGTGTAAATCTTTACTAATTTTAATCTTGATGGAAGCAATGAGTAATTTTAGCAATTTTCTTCCCACTGTGAAGAAGTCTTCAAAAACTGTTTTTGAATATGATTTATAATTCAAGACTTAATCTGTGCCAAAAAAAATGTACATTTCTCTTTTCCACAGATAATATTATTTTCTGCAAAAAAATGTTAGTTTCTGCACAGAAAACATTTTCTTGTGTAGAAAATTGTTTTCTAACTACTTCATCATTCTAGAGAACAAATCCACTTTACATCCAGTTTCTGCCTCCTGCAGAGTTCTGGGGTCTGTTGTTTTGTGAGGCTGTTAAAGGCTCCTCCCTAAACTACAAACCCCAGAATTCTGCAGGGGACAGCAACTGTATTTAAAGTGGATTCTTTCTCTAGTGTGATGAGGTCCTAAAGACAAATAGTGAACATATTACATAGAATAATTCAAAAACTGTGATGACTCTTGTCAGTACAGGTTTCTACTCCCAGCATTTGAAAAAAAAATATTCTTGACTATTTTTCAGGTATTCTTTCCATTTCTATCCCATAACCAATTACAAGGATGTCATCATCACATCTATTCATACTGGCAAACTGACATGGTTGCTTCCTTTTGCAGCTCTTCAAGGGAAAGTTCTACCATTGCCTGGGAGTGGACATCCGAAATATCACCAACAGGTCTGACTGTATGGCTGCCAATTACAAATGGGTGCATCACAAATACAACTTCGACAATCTGGGCCAGGTAAATGTGAACTATTGTCACACAATCTTTGAACTAAAACGGCAACACTGGTCAGGGCTTCCCTTCAGAAATGAATTTAGTTACCATATTTAAAGTAGATGTGATTTATTGAGGCAGAAAGGCACAAGCCAAGCCATATTAATCTCTTCTAAATCTCGTTAGCTTTAGTAAAAGAGATTATTTATCTCTTTGTCTGGAGCACTTGCAATGACTACACACGCACACATCCAGACATAGAGCAAGAGAGAGCAGTCATTTGTATACTGCCCTTATGCCATGTTTACTTCAGCAAAAAAAATTAATAGGAGTAAAATCAATGCAGGCCTCCTTCCAATTGGACAAATGAGGAAACTTTGGCATATATTTCTCTGAATTGAAAGATAGGGTATAGATATCCAAACACGATATCTGCTTTCCTGAACTATTTTCTGTGAAATCTCAGAACTAGCGGTAGCATTTTATTCTCAGCCTTAACTGGGTTGATTTTTAATTCCCAAACATGGCCAAACACCATGATTCCTCTCTTCCTCTTCTTGTTTTTATTTATTTATTTATTTTACAAAAAGGAATAAACTATAGTATAAAAGTAAAATGGTAATTTGGCACTATAAATCTACAGCTCTAAAAAAAATGAAATTCAGAGAGGGGACCTTTATCCTTCAGATCATGGGTCCCACTCAGCAAACCATACCCCCATTTAAAAACAACTTTGGACAACTTCCAGTGGAAATTCAAGAAATTACTATAAGCAGAAGAATGGAACGCATGGATTCAGAGGTAATAACCACTGCTAAAACCTATTGGGACTCTTTCCTAGAACAACTTGGAAAAGTCCATTGTAAAACTAGGGGGAAATCTGCTTTTAAGACCACAAGTAACACTGCAATTAAAACTGTACAACACTTTTAATACATATTTGAGTTTCTTGTTGAATATAGTGGGACACAAAGCATTTTACTTAAAACTCATATCATGACTAAATGTTTTAGGTCATATGTCATGTTCTGAAAAAACAAAGAGGTATGTGCAATGTGCCATTAAATGTAGTAACAGCATATTTCGACATTTATAACTCTGTTTATATAGTTGAGCTCACTATACTGAATATGAAGAATAGGGAAGCAGGCCTCTGCTGACTTATACAACCCCTGGTCTCCATGTTATTCATTAGCAGCTACAGCAGCCTTTCTCAACCTGACATCCTTACAACTCTCATCATCCCCATCTACCATGGCCAAATTACTTGGAGATGATAGTCTGACATACTGAGAGGTGACATCAGCTTGAGAAAAGCTAGTCTACAGGTTTGTGCAGAAGTGCTAGTGTGTATGTAGACATCTGGACTGGATCTGGCTTCCTGAACCAGCTTTGTGGCTCTACAGGTTCACTTAAGGTTGTCCTGTTACATTAAAAGGGCAATGACTTTTATATTGGATGTTGTATGCTATCTTGAGAATAGTGCTGTTAACACAATCAGTTTAAGTGGAAAATAGCGGTTCACCAGGCACAAATAAAGAAAGACAAAAATAAAATAAAATAAAGACCAAAATTGAAATGTTGAACCTGCAGTAAAAGCTGTATGCTAAAGCTGGACATAAGGAAAGTCCTTTACCCCAAAATAACTGGTGGGAAATGGAAATGGTTGCCAAGGGAAACAACAAAGTCTCAGTCTCTGGAGGCTTTTAAGAGAGTAAACTGAATGAGTGTTCACGTAGGATGCTTTACATTTCTGATTAAATTATTACCTTGTTTGTATTCACGGGCAAGTCAATTGAAATTCATTATCTACTCTGTATATATATGCAATGGATTCTGCACAGTCCTCCCATGTTCTCATGCCACAATTGGTAGAGTGGGGCCTTCTAAAGACTCTTTTAATCTTCTTCGGATAGTTCATTTTTGCACATAACAAGAAATGGAAGAACAAGAATTGACAGAGAAATATAGAGAATAAAGGAAGGCAGTTTTTTTAAAGATATAAATCAGGTGCTGTCCTTTGGATTCAATTGCCTTGCAGTGTTTTAGCAGACCAAGGTGGTGTTTATCACAGTGGATTGTTTTGGAATCCATTAGTCTGACTGAGGTGATCTGGTATTTCCCTGGGGAAGAACTTCAGCTGTTTGGCATTTCTTTCTTCTTCCCTCTCTCATATCTTTCACATACAAATTCTTTGCCCTCTCTTATTAGCTCGTCCTGGTCAGTTTAAACAAGGCAGTGGAAAAGAGCAGGGGTGGTTTCTCATTTTTTAAAATGTGTAAATCAATTGTGTATCTACTAATCAAAATCCCACCTAAAATGACCAAACATGCCTTCATGTGTTCCAGGCTTTGATGTCACTCTTTGTTCTGGCTTCCAAAGATGGCTGGGTCAACATTATGTACAACGGTCTGGATGCTGTGGCGGTTGACCAGCAGGTATAGAGGCTCCTACTCAGTGATCATTCCTATATCTTTGAAATGAATTGTTAAATGGCCTGGTGGCCAACATTTATTTTGTGAGGCCCTTCCCTACATAGTAAAAAGTTTTAGCCAGAACATTACATGGTGTAGGTTACAATTGACTTTCCACATTTGAGGGTTTAACTTTGGTAGATTTGATTATTCACAGATTTGATTAATACGTTTCCCATTTTCCAACCATCAAGAAACACAGTGTAGATGTGGCATTTTCAAATATTTTAAAGTATCTTTCCATTTATTTATTTATTCATTTCATACATTTGTATCCCGTCCTTCTCACCCCTGGAAGGGGACTCAGGGCAGCCTCACACTTGGCAACCATTAGATGCCCAAACAAAAACAATTATTGTCGAAGGCTTTCATGAATGGAATCACTGGATTGCTGTAGGTTTTTTTGGGCTATATGGCATTCTCTCCTGACGTTTCGCCTGCATCTATGGTAAGCATCTGTTCCAACAGACCTCACAGCCTCTAGAACAGGGGTCCTCAAACTAAGGCTCGGGGGCCGAATGCGGCCCTCCAAGGTCTTTTATCCGGCCCTCGCTTAGGGTCAACCTAAGTCTGTAACAACTTGAAAGTACACAACAACAACAACACAACAACAACAACAACAACAACAACAATCCTATCTCATCAGCCAAAATCAGGCCCACACTTCCCATTGAAATACTAATAAATTTATATTTGTTAAAATTGTTCTTCATTTTAATTATTGTATTGTTTTTAAGTGGTTTTTCCACTACAAATAAAATATGTGCAGTGTGCATAGGAATTCATTCATGTTTTTTTTTTTCAAATTATAATCCGGCCCTCCAACAGTTTGAGGGACTATTGTCGAAGGCTTTCATGGCTGGAATCACTAGGTTCTTGTGGGTTTTTTCGGGCTATGGAGCCATGTTCTAGAGGCATTTCTCCTGACGTTTCGCCTGCATCTATGGCAAGCATCCTCAGAGGTTGAGAAGGTCTTCTCAACCTCTGAGGATGCTTGCCATAGATGCAGGCGAAACGTCAGGAGAAATGCCTCTAGAACATGGCTCCATAGCCCGAAAAATCCCACAAGAACCTAGTTTGAGGGACTGTGACCTGGCCCTCTGTTTAAAAAGTTTGTGGACCCTTGCTCTAGAACATGGCCATATAGTCCGAAAAACCTACAACAACCCAAAGACAATTATAATAACAATTTACATTTAAAACTATGACTAATATATAAAATATAAACAACCATCCCTACTGCCCTGTTCATATGAAATCCTGAATATATACATTATTCCATTTCACCTCCCTCCCTCCCTCCCTTCCTTCCTTCCTTCCTTCCTTCCTTCCTTCCTTCCTTCCTTCCTTCCTTCCATCCATCCATCCTTCCTTCCTTCTTTCTTTCTGTCTTATTCCATCTTTCCCCCCTCATGGGACACAAGGTGAGTTCTCTCTTACTCAAAACCTGCCCTTTGTAACAATAACAGCACCATCTGTTTCAGCCAAAAGCGAACAGCATCCACTGGGAGACTTTGAAGACTCTCAAAACTCAGAACGTTTTCTCCCTTACTGATTACACTGCATCTCTGCAATCTGTTTGGTTGCTACCCTACACATCAGCACAGCAGAATGCCAATACATGTGCTAAAGGTATAATAATACATATCACACAGAGAGAAACACACATAAACAAGAGTAATGAAAGGTATTGATCAAGACCAGAACTATAAGGAGGAAGGTTAAACATTGTTGGGGACTTCGGCTGTTATAGAGCCATTGGGCCACACTAAGGAAACAAACTCTATTGCAATAAATTTCGGTGTATAATATTAGTGATTTAAAGTAAACCTCTGTGTGTGTGTGTATGTGTCTTCAAGACCCCTGTCAAGGGTGACCACATGAACTTCACTGGTTTTCTTAGACAAGAAATACTCAGAATATATATATTTAATGTGCTGATGATCATCACCATCTTATTTACCCCATAATATCTTTGCACTAGTACTGCATGTCCTTTAGGCACAATGGCATGCTCTTCTGATTCATAATCACTTGCTGTAATTTCACCCATCAGCAGGGTTTTTCATTGCTGGCAGCTAAAATCTGCTGCTGTTCCTGTTCGCTTTAATAATGCAAGATCACTTTCTAATGCAAATGGCAATCGCGCAGGAGCAAACAGCGCTGATGATGTATTACTCCCACGCTGTGATCTCTACTTGTTCTCTCGATAACACAGAATGGTTTCATCTGGTCTCGTCAGTCCGTTAGAGAGAACCATTTCTCGTGTACCCTTATAATGACTTCTAAGGATGCCCAGAACATGAGAACTGTTTTTAATAGGAAGAATAAGTGGGCTGTGAGCCTCGTGAAGGCACACTATCAACTTGAAGAATTATGAGTGTGACTCAAAAGAGACGCATGTGTGTCCAGAAGACATCCCATTCTGTGAGCTTTAAACTGTGCTGTTCTCAGTTGTGAGAAATGGATCTTCGGGACATCAATCCTCAAGCATTGCTAATGCTGTAGATATGTTTGTTCATCAATCAGCTTGTGATGTTGTGAACCTCGAAAAGGACAAGCCGATTATATCCCAACATAGAATAACACGTGTACTGTAGTTAGGAATGCATGGATGCTCCACAGATCAATCTGGAAAGATTCCAGCTTTTGTGAACACCTTTGTTCAAATGTCTCCATCATCTCTTCACTGTGGTTGCTATATGGACAGTAGTTTCAAGGATATCACAAGTATTTGTTGATTATGAGAGCTTTAGAGGCAACACTGTGCAAAAATCTTCCTGTTGGCTTTTTTAAAAGACTCTCCTACTCTATAATGCCCCGCATACTCTCACTAATCTTATGTCCCTGCCCTTTCATAGGCTCTACATTTCCCCCTTACAATTGAGATACACATCTCCATGAAGCTTGTTAAAAGTTCTGGCAAATGTATGACTTTCTCTTCCTATCTGCCAGCAAGCCCTCTTCCTTTTTCTAACATATATTGGCGTGAATTACCATAAATATAGTCCCCCCCCCAAAATTTCAGTTTTGTTGTTCTTTTAAAAATAATCTATTTTAATGGCTGGTTTGTTTGTTTGTTGAATGTATATCCTGCTTTTCTCCCAGGATGGGAGCTGTAGTTGTATTTACTACACAGCAGCAATTTTGACCTCTCACACAGGAAATTTGCCATGTTCAGAACTTCAGAATTCTTCCCCTTTGTTCCATATTATGTGCCTGTATTATCCCTGAACTAATTTCCGATATTTAATTGTCCTTTTGCCAGATAATGCCTGATAATGGTGATTGAATATTAATTCCTTGTGTATACATTGCTAAATGAGTTCTTTAGAGAATTATTGTAATTATCCTTCACTTCTCTGATAGTGTAATTATTATTCCTGTATCCCAGCTACCAAGATTAGTATTCCTGGCAATCTAAATACTAATGCCACCCCACGCACAGACATGAACTGAACATCTTGATTGGATGGCCACTGTGTTGAAGAGTTTAGAAAGCTCAGCCACTGGATTCCTGTATTTTTCAAACACCAAAGTTATAATTTGGGAGAAAAATCACCTAATCCTTGTATATCTGACAGTCTTTGACTCAGGCAAAAGGAGACAAGAATAGATGGACTAATTATTTTTGTTTCTCACAGTACTTTCACACAAATTGTTCAATAATACAACAACCTGCACAACATGGCAGTATTATTATCCCTATGATAATAACTATGTTCTATGGAGTTGAGAAAGAGGCAAAATGGCTTTCCTGTAGCCTCTTGTTGAACTAGGAAATTCTCTCAGCTCAGTATTTGCGCAAGCTTTTAATCATTACCCTCTTGTAGCTCTTCAATTGTTTTTGTATTCATTAAAAAACTATGACAAAAAGATACATGCAACTAATTAAAGTGCTTTTGCTGTGGAAAAAAAAGAGAAGTTGTAGCTTGGGAAAAACTACCTTGAAAGACCTTTCCCAGTAAGATATCAATATGGTTCTTTGGTACTCGGCTAGAGGGAAAATTTAAGTTGCCCTATTTCTGTGAAAGTTCGCAGATCTTCATTTGTCATAAGCAGAAGACACAAGAATCATCTAGAGAACCTGATATGAAAGAAGCACTGAGGCTGCCTCTACACCAGTGGTTCCTAACCTTTTTTTTCACCAGGGACCACTTGACCAGGGATCACTCTCCAACATTAGTACCAAAACAGTTACGAATCAGTTTTTGGTCAACTTTAGATTTGGTTTGGTTATTTGGGGTTCTGATTCAGAAAATTGGATAGGCCACATCAGCTTTAGTTTCGAATACATAACATATGCCATCTAGTTGTCGCCATCTGTGCGCCCACAGAAAACCGTATTTAATAAGCCTTGACACTATAAGAGGGTTTTGTGAGACCAGTCACTCTCATTGCAACGGTGTAGTAACAGTGAAGCCCAGACCATATTTTAATTCTTACAGCTCAATGCCATGGAATCATGGGAGTTGTAGGCTTTTAGCCTTCTATGCCAAGGAATGCTGGTGCCTCATCAAACTACAAATCCTAGAATTCTATAGCACTGAGCTGGGGCAGTTGAAGTGGTGTCAAACTGTATTAATTCTACAATGTAGATGCCTCCTGAGTCTCAGGGTGTATAAATAAAAAACCAATTCCACAAATCTGTACAATAAAATCTTTTTATGTATGTGCTGAAACCTGTCATTCATTCGTCAATCAAAAATTCCTGGTTAATTTGTGAAATAAAACCTTTTTTAAAAGACATCCTGAGACTCAATGGAGATTTACTGCAGCTCCATTAGTTACCATGATCCTAAATCCGGATTACTTTATTGGTGTTTATCTTGCCATCACTCTTTTTGTCATGCTAACCATCTTTTTTCCTTTTTCAAAATAAAATCCAGCCAGTGACCAACAACAACCCTTGGATGCTCCTTTACTTCATTTCTTTCTTGCTCATCGTCAGCTTCTTCGTGCTCAACATGTTTGTAGGGGTTGTAGTAGAGAACTTCCACAAATGTCGTCAGCATCAAGAGGCAGAGGAAGCTCGGCGGCGTGAAGAGAAACGCCTGAGGCGCCTGGAGAAGAAACGCAGGAGTAAGGAACAGCCTCAATGTTTGGTTGGCTTGGAGCTTAGGTTGTGTGCGAAAATGCCTGAGAGAAACTATCTCCTGTGTGGGGGAAATCTCCCTCCCCCCACACAACTGCTCAGCCCTGAGTAGAATAATTATTGAGGAAATGCAACCAAAAGCTTTTCTCAATAGCTTATCTTCATGTTTGGACTCCAAAAAATAGTTGCTTTTCAAATCTTTACAGGACATTTTCTAAATAACTGTAATATTAGCCACTCCCATGTATAAATATGTGAGGGGAAGTCATAGGGAGGAAGGAGTAAGCTTGTTTTTGGCTGCCCTGGAGACTAGGACATGGGAAAATGGCTTCAAACTACAAGACAGGAGATTCCACCTGACCATTAGGAAGAACTTCCTAACTGTGAGAGCTGTTCACAGTTAGGAAGTTCTTCTCTTTCCTTCAGAGTTTTCACTTCTGGTCAGGCTTGCTATATATTATAATTTTTATGTTTAATTTGTTTGTGCGTGTAATACTGGTTTAGTATAATTTCCACAAACATGAAATTAATTGTTTTCTCTCAATCTCTACTATTTTCTTCTTTCATATCTGTGTTTTCCTTTCCTTGTATTTCTTTTTAATTATATCTTTTACCATGCTGTTCCAATACTATTTTTCTTTGGCTCACTTTTCTTTTGCCTTGTCTAACCATCCTTCCTCTTCCCCATTCCTTTCTTTTCCTTTCCTTTTCTTCCCTTCCCTATCCTCCCATTGAAGAGGCCCAGCGTTTGCCATATTATGCCACGTATTGCTCTGTCCGCCTTCTCATCCATACGGTCTGCACCAGCCATTATTTGGATATCTTCATCACCTTTGTCATCTGCCTCAACGTTGTCACCATGTCCCTGGAGCACTACAACCAGCCAATGGTGAGTGAGTTCAAGGGGGTAAATCCTCCCTTTTTGCCTTATTTCCTTTCCTTTGCAAAGTAAAGAATTTCCTCTTACCAAATAAATAATAGATTCTGAGATTGCCTTGAGATGAAAGAAGATCAAACCAGTCCATACTCTGGGAAATAAAGCCCAACTGCTCACTGGAGGTAAGGATAATAAAGACAAAGATGAAGTATTTTGGCCACATAATGAGAATACAAGATAGCTTGGAGACGATAATGATGTTGAGGAAAATGGAAGGAAAGAAGAAGAGGGACCAACCAAGGGTAATAGATGTTATCCTTGAAGTGACTGGCTTGAACTTGAAGGAGCTGGGGGGTGGCAACAGCCAACAGGTAGCTCTGGCGTGGGCTGGTCCATGAGGTCGCAATGAGTCGGTAGTGACTGAATGAATAAACAACAAAGAAATAACCAAATACATCACTGATAATGAAAAGGTGTGGGAAGCCAATGTGGTCTGTAAGTGTCAGCATCATAGAGCTGGCTGAATGTTGGATGAGGAGTCAGGGAGACCAGAGTTCAAACCCCTACTCAGCCACATTCTCCCAGAAAACAACTGTGGCAACCCCTTTCTCAATAAATATTGCCAAGAAATCCCTAGGTCAGGGTTACCATAAATTGGGAGTCATGTTGAAGGCATATGACCGCAGCACAACAAAATTAAAAAGCAAGAGAAGACCTGTCCAATGTGAATTGTTGAGGGAGACTGTTAAGCAAAGGACAATCATTCCCTTTTTTAATTCTTTCATGACCATGATCTTGTTGTTTTCTCCCATTTGGTACTTTACACTAGAGTCGGTTTAGGAATTGTGTGCTACATGGCTAAATGTAGCAAAAGTAGAGCTGTGCACCTCCTTCCAGCCTTCCTTCCCAAAATGTGTGCTTTTGGTAAAATTGAGAATCAGGCCTTCTAGAGTCATCATTATCCATTTAATCACTGTTCCTCTTATTTGAAAAATGTCCAAACCATCAAATTTTAGGGGGAAATAGTAGTGACAAAATCATTACTTCTTGTTTTGGGAAAATGCGGGGAGAGAGATACAATCCACAGAGACTGGAACAGTATATCTCAACCTCGATACCAGATTACATTAGAGGTATAATCTATGAAAGGGAGAAACATTTGTGCAGTTTGTGTTTTGATACACTCTTGTCTGAGACAACTATTGAAACTGAAACACAGTGATAATTTAATATTTCTATTTCCCCAGATTTGCCTATGTAGTTATCCAAACAAAACCGCAATACAAAATGTGTGCATTAGCAGAAAGAGTGTTTGATGTTGTTTATTTATTCAGTCACTTCCAATTCTTCGTGACCTTATGGACCAACCCACACCAGAGCTCCCTGTTGGCCATGGTCACTCCCAGTTCCTTCAAAGTCAAGCCAGTCACTTCAAGGATACCATCCATCCATTTTGCCCCTCTTCCTTTTTCCTTCCATTTCCCCAGCATAATTGTCTTCTCCAAGCTTCCATATCTTCTCATTATGTGGCCAAAGTACTTCATCTTTGCCTCTAATATCCTTCCCTCCAGTGAGCAGCTGGGCATTATTTCCTGGAGTATGGACTGGTTTGAAAGAGTGTAATAACTGTTTATGTTAGAAGAAATAATATACAAAAAGTATTGCCTTTAGGAAAATTGTGTTTATTATTAATGCACATGAAAATAGTTATATCAGTAGGGACACACGTACAAAAATGCAGAACATTTTTCCTGTGGTCTTTTTATAAATAATGTTTACATGATGAAGTGGTCATCTCAAGACTGGACTACTGTAACGCCCTCTACATTGGCCTTCCTCGGTTGGTGATCCAGAAGCTCAAGTTGGTACAAAATGCAGCTGCTCAGCTTCTTGCGGGAATTCCAATAAGATGCCACATCATACCAATCTTACTGCAGCTGCATTGGTTACCAATTGAGCACCGGATCACTTTCAAGTGATGGTACTCACCTTGAAGGCCTTGCATGGTCTGGGGCCGATGTACCTGAGGGACCGCCTCACCCCCTACCAACCCCAGAGATCCCTCCGTTCTGAGGACCAAGATTTGTTGGAAATTCCCAGTGTCAAGACCTTGCGTCTAACAGCAACCAGACGCAGAGCCTTTACAGCAGTGGCACCATCACTCTGGAATACTCTGCCACCTGAAGTCCGTGCCTTGCGGGACTTATCAGCTTTCCGCAGGGCATGTAAGACATATCTGTTTCGACAGGCCTTTGATCTCTGATATTGCTGTTTTTAAATTGTTTTAAATTGTTTTTAAATTGTGTTAGATTTTAGCCTGTTCTTGTAAACCCCTCCAAGCCCCAGGGGAGTGGCGGCATATAAGTTTGAATAATAAATAAATAAATAAATAAATGTGGAGTCATGTCAATGCGAGAAACCAAACAAAACCAAAATAAATGTTTATTTGATTCATTGCTTTATATCCCACCTTTTTTTCCATAATAAGATTCAAGTATGCTATGTATTTATTTATTTATTTATTTATCATATCAGAAGCAAACCAAGGGTACATCTGTAATGTATTTAAAGAACACAAAGTTTTAAAACCTGGCATTATATTAAATGTTCTTTGACCAGTAACTGGCCACCTTGAGTGGCTCTGGTGTTGCTATAAGAAGGTCCTCCATTGTGCATGTGTCAGGGCTCAGACTGTATTGTAATAGGTGGTGTGTGGTTTCCTCTTCTCAACACTCGCATGTCATGGACGCCACTTTGTGGCCCCATTTCTTAAGGTTGGCTCTGCATTTTGTGGTGCCAGAGCATAGTCTGTTCAGCACCTTCCAAGTCGCCCAGTCTTCTGTATGCCCAAGGCTGCTAAGAATACAGATTAGAACTGTACAAAAACATGTTACTCCATCCTTAATCTGAGCCTTATATTTTTCACTAGAGACATCATTATTTTTTCACCCTTTCTCTTGAAAAATGATATATATTGCTGAGGGGAGAAATTTTAAAGGGAGCTGACCACAAAGATGATTATAGCAGGCCAGAAGAATCTAGTTGGCAGTTCTTAAAAATCAATCTCTATTTTATCCTCTATAAAAGCAGAAACTATTGGCACAGTAAAATATTGCTTTAGCAGTTTGCTGTGAAATGGATGAGACTTCCTTTCTTTGATCCAACATCTCTTTTGCTGGTTATGCACTATTTTATAGAGACCCTTGAAAGTTCATTTCCATTTGTGGATGAGTGAAATGGTGTGAGAAATATGCATATAATCTCTCTAATTCTCCTAAATTTGAAGGATGCTGTTACCTAATTGATGTACATGTATTGGAGGAGCTTAGTTCAATACCTGGACTCTTGGCTCTCATCAGTCAGTATGTATAACATGAAATAAAAGTGTTTTTCCCCCTATCTGGGAATAGAGAGGGATGATAAAGAAGATCACACTCTTTTCTGTGTTCACGCGTATGTTAGGAAACCCTACCTCCTGGACCTACTACCTTCAAGGGGCCATTTAAGACTCACTCTTTTATTTCCAGTATCTGAAGTAGCCGGGACTGCAGTCACTCACTCATCTTCCCTTTCTATTGAATTTCAAAAGCAAATTTGGTACCCCTGTAGTTCATACCTTGTATTAAAGTACATCAGCTCAGGAGGGCATGCTGTTCTGATACATTTCAGCCCTCTTTAGTTAACATTGGCAGAGTGATGGTTTTATCTCCATGTTATACCACTACATCCTTTGGAAAAGTTACAAGGGTTGAATGAAAAGTAATGCCTCCACCTTCGTTACTCGAATTTGGATGGGAATATTTCAATAATCAAATGCAGAAATAATCCTTAGAATGTGCTCTTTAACTACCACTATTCACTTTTCCACATAATCACCAGACAATTGGATACATTTCTGCCAACAATGAACAAGTTTTCTGAAGCCGTCACGGAAGAAGTTGCAACCAGTCTCTCACAGTTCTCTCAACGTATCCATCGTGAACAGATCTTCCAATAGCCAAGCAAAGCAATAATGTGACCCATACGTTCTTGTGAAATGCCAGTTATGCTTGAAATTTCTGAGTGATAAGACGATCTGTCAATCTTTTGCTTGTGAAACTCGGTGGTTGCTGTCACAGGACGTACAACTCTTTGTTTGTCACGCAAGTCAGATGTTTCCACCTCAACATCTTTAAACTTACTCACCCAGCGACACACAGTATTCACATCAACACAATCACCACAAACAGCTTGCATTCTCTGAGGAATCTCCTTTGGGTTGACATCTTCTGTTGTCAAGAATTCAGTGACTGCACATGGCTTAAGTCGCATTGACCGACCGTCTGCGCAGGGTTCCATACCTTGCACTTTAACAACACAACTGTTCAATGTTAAGCCTTCCTGCCAAAAGCAACTGTAGAGAAGAGTCTACTGAACAAGCCAGTACCTGCCACATACCAGTACTGCCATCTGTTGAGGACTTACGAAGGTGGAGGCATTACTTTTCATTCAACCCTCATAGTTCCCAGCCTCTTCAGCAAAGATCAACAAAGCTACCAGCAATGAACCATTCTCTCTGGAGATTCTGCCTTGTTTATTTCTTAATCTGTTATTAAGGTGAAAGCTGCCCTACAATGCTGCTGAGGTTAGACATGCTGTCTTTTGGCCCTCTTCAACGCCACCCACTCTCATTCAGAGATGCAGAGAATGATGCGCTCAGAGCAGAAGAATAGCTCAGTAATGCTGTGGCAAACGATGCAGCATGACTCATTTTCAGCTGAAGAGGATGAAGCTTCATGATTGGCCAATTTTTGTATGATTTGTTGTAGTAACAGAGGCCATCTGTGTTTAATACCATATCCTCTCCTGAATTACATTCTGTTTTGAGGTTTTATTTTATGCTAAAATGAATACACTGAAAATAAGGTCCACAGTGTCACTTTGGGCTAGCCCTTCGCCCTCATATGTGTATTAAGCATCTCCTTCTATAATGGTTGTAATCATATGCCTTTTCTTCTTTCATTTTAGCACTTGAATTGAGACTGTAAAGGCATAGATATTTCCCTGAGATTAAGCTGCATAGATCTGAAGAGAACTAATCTTAAGCCAGCTATGTAGATGATTCTGCATTATACTCAACATATGTACAAGTGCATCTATGCACATTGCTCTTTGCAAACTGAAACATCTTCAGTTCTTATATCCTCAAGGTTTCTTTCAGCACCTATGTGCATGCCTTTTCCAAATCATGTGCTGATTGTGTCTTTTCATCAACTCATGCATTTGTGAGATGTCCTATTTTTCATGGGTTTTTTTCTAAAGTGCTTTGCACATTCATCTGTTCAAAGCTGTTTCAATATTTTGCTTTGCATTTGAATCTCCTTGAGAGAGAGGAAGTGGAATACAAATACTATAAATTAGGTAAAGGTAAAAGTTTCCCATGACATTAAGTCTAGTCGCATCCGACTCTGGGGGGTGGTGCTCATCTCCATCTCTAAGCCGAAGAGCTAGCGTTGTCCATAGACACCTCCAAGGTCATGTGGCCAGCATGACTGCATGGAGTTCCATTATCTTCCCACAGAATGCCATGTATGACTCAGGGCATTTTATCCTAGCACTTAAGACCTGGCTTTTTACTAGAGCATTTGACCCATGTTAATTTTAATATTTGTATGTATGTGTTTTATCCTGTATAATTTCTGTTATGTAAATTGCCTGGAGCATCTCGGATGGAGGGCGATTAATAAGTAATTAAAGATGATGATGATGATGATGATGATGATGATGATGATGATGATGATAAGTGGTACCTATTCATCTATGCACATTTGCATGTTTTCAAACTGCTAGGTTGGCAGAAGCTGGTCCTAACAGTGGAAGCTCACCCCACTCCCCAGATTCAAACTGCTAGCCTTTTGGTCAGCAAGTTAAGCAGCTCAGTGGTTCAACCTATTGCATCACCAAGGAATATATATATATAGAGAGAGAGAGAGTTATATAATTAACTATAAATTAATACAATAATTTTTTTTAAGTGAGAATGAATCCTCTTGGAAAATCACTTGGAGAAACAAGAAAAGGTTGACACTAGGATTAGCCAATCAGTGCTATTCAGCAACCATGCTCTAATCTTGAGTTTGGGGATACTATAGGATTGCTAAAATGAACAGCCAATCAAAACTGTTCTCATTTGGCATATACTGCAAAATATTAAACTGGGTTTCCCCCTGAATTCAGTGCAGGAAAGAAAATTATAATTTTCAAAAGGCACTAATTTAACTTCTACAGCTTCATCCTCTTGATTCTTGATTAATCACGGGCCAGCTTGATGTTATTGATGTTCTCTTTTCCTTCTATTCATAGTCTCTGGAGACTGCCCTCAAGTACTGCAACTACATGTTCACTGCAGTCTTTGTGCTGGAGGCAGTTCTGAAGCTTGTGGCCTTTGGGCTCAGACGCTTCTTCAAAGACAGGTGAGCAGAAAAGATGGTGAGTCATATTCTAAGGGGCACAGAAGATCATAGGTGATCATAGCACTCCTTATGCTAATGAAAATATTGCTATGTTCTGAAGAACAATTAAAGTCTCAGGGTTTACTTCCAGTATTCTTTGCCATGGGCATGGGGAAACTGCTATCTATTGTTGGGGTGGGTGTGAATGATTTGACAGAGAAGCAGAGTAAAATATGTAGTGTAAAGATAGGGGAACAAAGTATTAAGCAATGTAGATTTTGGATTTCAGAATTCCAGATATGGGATACTCAATCTGTAAAAATATAATTATTAGATTGGAGACTAGAGAAGGTATGGATAATTTTTTTATAGGCAATGTCATTCAACCAATCTCCTAAAACTATAGAGTTGGAAGGGGCCTCACGGGCCATTGTGTACAACTCCTTGCTCAATAGAGGAACTCCAGCTAGAGTAGGCATGGACAAACTTCAACCCTCCAGATGTTTTGGACTTCAACTCCCAGAAATCCCAGTAGCTTACCAGCTGTTAGGAATTGTGGAAGCTGAAGTCAAAAACACTTGGCTTGCCCATGCCTGAGCTAGAGCATCCACATCTAATATCTCTCCATCTATCTAGGACAGTAATTGGCTCCTTTGGTTCTAAAGTTGTTCCACATTACCTGTCTATTTGTTTACCTTTATGAAGTGGTTATCCCTAGTGTTCTACGTATCTCCCACAGTCACCACAGCTCAAAGTCTACGACATCCACAAATCATTCCCTTTAATCTTCAGTTAAGAATTCAAAAAACATTAGGATTGGCAGAGCTAGGAAAGTTGCTGCCATTCAAAGCAAGAAGGACTAGGCTAGAGAGGATCATTGATCAGTTCTTGGCATGCCTAATTTGTTCAAAATATTAAATCAAATTTACTCAAAAGGAAATCTCATCAAAACAAATTAAGTGGCCAAAATGATGGATGGCAAGTCACTAAATAAATATGGATTTGCATGGGTTTTTTTCCAATTAAAACATTGGAACAGTACTTTAGTATAAAATTCCAAATAACCTGATCAAAACCTGTATCTAATGTAAAAGTGCCTTGGCTGTTGTTTGTTTTTTAAATAGAGGAATACATTTAGATCTATTTTAAGTGATGAAGAAAAGCTGAATTTTTAATTTTGTTTTGTTTTGTCTTCCCGATTTCTTATAGGTGGAACCAACTAGACCTGGCCATTGTCCTCCTCTCTGTCATGGGCATCACCCTGGAGGAGATTGAAATCAATGCTGCCCTTCCTATCAACCCCACCATCATCCGTATCATGAGAGTGCTGCGCATTGCTAGAGGTGAGTTTTGTTTGTGTGGTATGTCCCAGCAATGCAGACAGCATGCTGGGGCAGATGCCAGACACAGATCCTCTGAAGATGCCAGCAATAGATGCAGGCAAAACGTCAGGAGAAAATGCTACTAGAACATGGCCATACATCCCGGAAATGACACAACACCCCAGTAGCATGAAGATGTTTGTCAAATTTGTGCCTAAAAAGTATATTATGTATATGATGAAAGTATATGATGAATGGGGAGATTGTTAATGGAGCAAAAATTGAATGGAATAATAAACCAAGTACAGAGAGGAACAAAAGGTGTCAAGTTTAGACTGAGACCATAATCATGGAATCATTTAATTGCATTGATAATGGTCAGCTATTATCAACAGTGCTGTGGATTTTGAAGAGGCACAAATCGAATGTGAAAAGGAGAAACGTACCAAGAGGAAGGGGTGTCAAGTAAACCCTTGTTGGAACCGTCTTCCAACTGGAAATGTATGTTCTCACTGCAAAAGACCATACAGATCTAGAATAGGCCTCTACAGTCACTTGTGGACCCACTGCCAAACCTCTCCCCCTGGAAGACAGTCATACTCAGCCACAAGTGATAGCCTATGATGATGCCGTTATCCAGTGCTAAAGCATCCCTGAGAGAAGCCTTTAATTTCTGCTTAGAAATTAGCAACAAATGAGAATCTTCCACTTTCTGACATAGTCTATTTTAATGGCCTTTACCTACAGAAAATTATTTCTAAAGTTTAGTAGCTGGTTGATGTTTCAGAAGTGAAAAATGATGGGTGATAAAAAGTGATAAAATTGGATACTAGAAGAGATAGTCTCCATTTATTTCATATTTTCCTATATGAAAAACAGAGCACTGTGTACTGTCTGAATACTCAATGTCCTTGGCTTTACTTCTCATGACAGTTTTGAAGCTATTGAAGATGGCAACAGGGATGCGAGCTTTATTGGACACAGTTGTGCAAGCCCTGCCACAGGTAATGGATACCATTTCATTTTATGTACAAGTCTCTGCAGGCCAAGTTTGACCCCAAGGGAGTGGGCACTATGCCCCTTTCAGCCAAACCTGTTCTATTTGTAACTTTTGGAGAATTTGGGGCAGGAAAGAGCTTAAAATCAACATGCTGGTTGACTATTTGGATGCAAAAAAAATTGAGGGTTCTAATGCCTTGTGTGGAAAAACAGTGAGCAGACAAAAGTCATTGGGGTCACATGGACCCAGCAGACCTTACAACCTCTGAGGATGCCTGCCATAGATGCAGGTGAAACATCAGGAGAGAATGCTTCTGGAACATGGCCATACAGCCCAAAAAACTTGCAACAACCCAACATTAAAATAAATATATAAACTCATTGAAACAAAAAGACAGAGAAATTAAGGAAGACCAAAAGATAAAACAACATCTTAAAGACTGTTATCAGGGTCTATACAAAAATGAAGAGGGCCCAACAGAAGCAGTAATAGAATACATTAAAATCAAAAACTACCAACCCTCTCAGAAGCAGACCAAGCATGATTGAACTGATCAATTACGATACAGGAAATTGACGAGGCTATTCAGAATTTAAAAATAGATAAATCTCCAGGTCCAGATGACTAAATGGCAGCATGCTACAAGATGATGAAAGACAAAATAACACCAATATTACAAAAAATCATGAATTTCAATAGATCATGAATTCTATACTGGAAACAAATCAAATATCAGAGACATGGAAAGAATCCAGCCTTGTCTTAATTCCCATTTGCCGATATTTGTTTTAAACTGCCCTGAGTCCCCTTGGGGAGATAGGGCAGGATATAAATGAAGTATATTAATATTAATATTATTAAATATAGATTATAAAATATTTACATCAATATTGACAAACACAAATTTGACATTAATTAAAAAATAAGTTATAAAATATCCAATTAAAAACATTTCTAACAGCATTATAATCACATTCAAGTCCAGTTCAGTATCCATAGTTCCAGTCCATAGCCTGTCCCTTACCAGTTCTCACAAATCATTGCGATTACTTGTTGGCCTGGTACTCAAATGCCTGGTCCCAGAATCATGATTTGAGCGTCTTCCTAAAGGGAAGGATAAAATATAATTACATTATTTTACATAATGTAAATAATTACATTATTACGTTATTACATTATATTTTACACAATGAACTAGATAATGTGGAACCATTCTTATGTGTATGAAAGAAGGATATGTAAAAAGTTGATGGTATATTTCAATGAGAAAAAAAGACAAATGTTCACCTTCATTGCACTGGGCTGAGGAGGTGACCTGTGGATATTAACCCTGCACAGAGACTTACTTATATATCTGCCTCTCTCTTCTAGATATTTCAACAGATTTCTGCCCCATAGCAGTTCTCTACCTGTTTTATTATCTGTCCATGTATTCATTTACATTAATTTATCATTTAATTCCATTACTCTTCTTCCTGTTATTCTTGCGATTAATTAAACTACTTAAAATGCAAAAAATAATAATATTTAGTTATTCATTTTTAATGGTAAATCTAAGAACTTTTGATTAACAAAACAAGCCTGGTATAAATGTTCAATGAATACTTTCCCTTGTCATCTTCTCTAGTACTCATAGGCTTCATGAGACTAAGAAATGTGAAAATATCTCATACTTGATCTATTTTATTGCATTTATTCAAATCCCTCATTCATTTTTTTCTCCTGCTATTGTTTCATTTTGGATTGTAAGACTTTATCTTCTTCTCACATAGAAAGGCATTGCATTTTGCCATTATTTTTGTAAACTGCTTTGAGTCACCCCCAGGGGTGAGAAAAGCAGTATATAAATACTGTAAATAAATGAGTAAATAAATGGTTTAGTACATCCTTTTCTGAAACCCAATTTGAAACAAGAATTGTAAGAAAATGCTGGTGAGAGTCTGAGCAACTCAACAAACTCAAGGCTGAGATTTTCACCTCTCTAGTTCCAATTCTGTGTGGATTGCCATTATCAGTCACGCTGATTCAGCATGCTTGCCACTTACAAAAACACTAAAATTGTTCAAGTAAGCTAACGTCCATTAGCTCCACTCATTTTCATTTCACAGCTCAGAAAGAGAAACTATTCAGGTAATTAGCTCTTTATCCGGTGGATTCTTTGATCCATTTGAGCCTCATTTAATACAATACTTTTATACTGTATTAAATTATTCTACTATTACTTTTGATTATTTCACTGAGCTCTGGATAGGACATTTTCTGTGTTAATTGTAAATTTGCTATTCAAAACGAGGACTGCAACAAAGCAAAATAGTATTAAATGTGAATGTATTTCTGTTGCAGGATGCTTAATATCTGACATGTTTTTGGCACGGACCAGCATAAAAAACACAGATGCTATCAATATTTGTCTCCTCTAAGACTAGGACTGGGAAAACATGGAAAGCATGGAAACCCACTGAATGGCATAGGGCAAATGAAAAAGTAGAGGCAAATCTTCTCTGAATAAAATTCACTAAGAAAACCCTACCATAGAGTAATCATAAGTCAGTCATCTTGAAGATTAATGAAAACCTATGCAGGTGTTCTCAGAAATAGCCTGTTAAGTTCAATTGACCTACTTCCATGTACATTGCATAGGATTGTAACCTAAATGTGTCAAAACACCCACTTAATTCCTCCAGGGGAAAAAGGTAGCAAGCTGGGAATTTGAGAGTGAAAATCGTTGGTGGAAGAAAGATTAAGCAGCATTTCGATAAGAGTATTTGTCCACTCCCTGTTCTTTCTTTCTAAGAGCTATTTGTCTGGTTTCCAAACGAAATGCCATGGCAAAGTGATTTTATACACAGAATAATATAAAGCAGTGTAATAGCTATTTAGCCCTCTGCAGCTACTCTCACTATTAAACGTTTTTTTTCAATATATGTGGTGTAATAATGATATGTAGAAGTGGTCCAGTTCTTATCCAAATAAGAGATAGGTGAATGAGAATAAAGGTAAATCAAAACAGGACGAAAATAAATTGACTTGATAAACAAACAGTAAGTAACATAGGAAATGTAAAGCTCTGATGGCTACTGAAATATTTTCTGCAATTTATACACATAAAGCAGCATTTCTGAACCTGGTTGTCAGAGGGGTCGCCAAAGACCATCAGAAAACACAGTATTTTATGTTGGTGATTGGGGTTTTGTGTGAGAAGTTTGGCCCAAGATTATTGTTGGTGGAGTTCAGAATGCTCTTTGATTGTAGGTGAAATATATAAATCCCAGCAACTACAACTCCCAAATGTCAAGGTCTCTTTTCCCCTAACTCCACCAGTATTCACATGTGGGTATATTGAGTATTTGTGCCAAGTTTAGTCCAGATCCATCATTGTTTGAGTCCACAGTGCTGTCTGGATATAGGGGAACTACAACTCTGAAACTCAAGGTCAATGCCCACCAAACCCTTCCAGTACTTTCTGTTGGTCATGGGAGTTCTATGTGCCAAATTTGGTTCAGTTCCAACACTGGTGGGGTTCAGAATGCTCATTGATTGTAGGTGAACTATAAATCCCAAATGACAATATCAACCCCCCCCCCCAAAAAAAAAGTTCCACCATTATTCAAATTTGCACATATCAAGTATTTGTGCCAAATTAGCTCCAGTGAATGAAAATACATCCTGCATATCGGATATTTACATTACGATCCATAACAATAGCAAAATTACAGTTATGAAGTAACAACCAAAATAATATTATGGTCGGGGTTCACCACAACAAGAGGAACTGTATTAAGGGGTCATAGTATTAGAAAGGTTTAGAACCACTGACAGAGAGAGTTACATCGTAAGATCAAAAGGACATGTGGCCCAAGTTGGAATCCAATATTTAATACAGGTAAAGACTAGGCAGCCAATAGGTATTGGTTCTTCCCTTTGAATCCAACTCACTATGAGCAGAGCCTGGGTAGCTACACTCTCTTTTGCAAATATTTAACTCTAAAACTCACATTTCAAAATATAATAGAAATGGGAAAACCAAAATATTACTGCACTGTGATCTACTTATTCATTCAGGAGGTAGAAATCAAGCCAGGTTACAACTAAGTGCTACATGACATCTTAGTGCATCCCTGATGTAGAACAGGGTTAATAAACTCTTTTCTGTATGTCTCGATTCACAAGAATGCAACTGGTAAAAACATTGACAGATATAATTAGAAGGCACAAGATATAACAGTTTGTTATAGCCATGCAGGTTTGGATTTGGTCATTGGTGCCTTTGTGGGAGAACCTTGACAATGGAAGAAAAGCAAGACATAAATGAACTAAATATATATGACTGTTTATATACATGTATAAGTCAACCTCAGTTATGAGTAAAGGGCAAGTTTTGGGACCAAAGTAACAGATTTTGATATGACCCCATGGATAAGTCAAGGGTTATTCCATGAAGAAAGGAAAACATCAATGCCACCTAGGGGACAGCTGGCCATTTTCCATACAGGCATTCCAAATGGCAGAAGCAGGCATTCCAAATTTTCCATACAGGCATTCTAAACGGGTGAGAGCTGATTTGAACCTTGGTCTCCAAAGTTGTAGTTCAGTGCTTAGATCAGGGGTCCTCAAACCTTTTAAACAGAGGGCCAGGTCACAGTCCCTCAAACTGTTGAAGGGCCGGATTATAATTTGAAAAAAACATGAATGAATTCCTATACACACTACACATATCTTATTTGTAGTACAAAAAAAACCCCTTAAAAACAATACAATAATTAAAATGAAGAACAATGTATACAAATATAAACTTATTAGTATTTCAGTGGGAAGTTTGGGCCTGCTTTTGCCTGATGAGATAGGATTGTTGTTGTTATGTGTTTTCAAGTTGTTTCAGACTTAGGTTGACCCTGAACGAGGGCCAGGTAAATGACCTTGGAGGGCTGCATCCAGCCCCCGGGCCTTAGTTTGAGGACCCCTGGGCCAAATGGTATAATTTCTCCAGTGGTGTAGAGAGCAAACGTCCTGTGATAATGCGGCATGTCTCATCCACAGTGCCACATCCACAGTTTTAGCGTGGTGAGATGTGTTCCACACTCAGCATGTGTACTCAGCCGCAGAGTAGCAAAGCCCAAGGGCAAATGTCTTCACTATATCTGGTTGTGATCCCCAGGGTGTGCCAGGCAGCTTTCGTATGATATTGTTTCTAGCACCCACTTTTTGCTTGATATTCAAGCAGTGCTTCTTGTGGGTCAGAGCATAGTCCAGTTACTGGGTGTGCTGCAATCCTCCAGTTATTTTAATAATCACACAGTACACTACAAAACTGCAACATGAAAGTACCAGAGCAGGACTTTTTTTGCTTGCTTTTGTCATCTCATGATGACAAAACAAAGCCTATTTGCTGCAGAATAGCTGAAGACAGTGGGAGCCGAAATGTCCTGCTTTAGCATTTTAACATTTTTGTTTGGTTAGTCACTCTGATAAATATGTATTCTAAATGATTAACAGTATCCTTCTGGGATTCAGAACAGATTTATTTGAAGTGCTATTTGGTCCTTTCCTCATTTCCCTTTTCATCATTTTAATGTGACTGCAGAGTTGGAGCACCAGATAAAAACCATTCTATTAAAAGAACAACAGATCTGATTCTCTCTGCCTCTCTTATCTTCTTCATCTTGTTTTTGGTTCCCCCGTGTGTCTAATCTGTTATAAAGCCTTCTGTCCCAGGAGAAGCAATACCTCCTCCATCTGGGCATTGCTTTGCACGTCGTGAAATGTCACCTGAAAGCCAGCAGCTGTATGGGGAGATCTGCCTGGCGCGCAAAAGGCAGCACTCATGAGAAATAGCTATTGATGCTCCCACTCCCACCCACCCACCCAGGCACATTAAGCCAAGCACAGACTGACAGAATTCCCCTTGATGAATGAGTGGCTTCGGAAAATCGGTGTGCCTCCCCCTCCTTTGATTTTTTTTTAGAGAGAATTGTAAAGGAAGGAATAGTGGCACCAAAGAAATCTATTGATCATAGATCATCAGATCACCCCAGAAAGCCTAAATAAGGAAGCTTATCTTCTATCCATCTTTGTCTAAAAATGAAAAAAGGCCATTGATTTGTCAGGTACCCTCAATATGGTACCAAGCTTGCAAACTTTGTGTTTTGTCTGTTTTGTTAAAAATGTAATACAACTGTCTGGTTGCTCCTGACATGATAAATAAATAATATGGGGGTGAATGAAGTGAAGCTGAGACTTTTTAAAAAATAGTTACACATGAGAGTTACACAATGATCTCACATTGCACCACCGTGTTGTATAAATTAATTGAACTCCAGATCAGACAAAAAAGAAGGGAAGAAGAAATCTTGTGACATCCTTAACACTAACATGCAGTTTAATGTGTGTGTTTTATGCATTTCAATCCATTTCTTCAGAAGTATAATCTTCAGTCCACTGATATTATTGAACAGTTACATAGTTGTGGACTAATGACCATATCAGATGGGCTGTTGAAAATGTCACGCATCATAGTGAATCCAGTGGTACCTGTCAAGGGGCACATCACCCAACTTACTTGTGGCCCCATCTCACGGGGGGGGGGGAGGGAGGGAGCATCAACCACTCTGTTTCCCCCTGTTGATCCATCCACCACTGTGTTGCCACCCACCATGCTGTTTCATCAATACTTTTGCAATGCAGTCCCAACGGAAGTAGCTCTACATCTCGGAGTGCGAACCAGCAGGCTCCATCATATAAATATAGATGAATTGGCACATACCACCAAAAAGTATCCCATTTGATGAGGTCATAATGCTGTGATGCTGTTCACAAAGGCATGTGTAAGACCTATGTGTTCTTTCTGAGGTATCCATGTAATACATTCTGCCTATCTGAAAATTTGTTCAGTTGAAGTCGTTATTTTGAGACAAAAACTTACAGACTAGGTAAAAATGTCCCACCAAGTAATTAAACCAGAGTGCTCAGAAACATTAATGCCTGTTCCTTGGCATATTATGCTAGGAGAAAGCATATAAACCCTCTTTTCTTGTTGACTTGTGTTAGACTACACTTCTTTTGATAATTATGTATATGAAAATAGAAGTTTGCTCAAACTTGCAATTTCTCACCCCTCTGCTATGTTTTTGGTTCCAAAGGACAGGGTAGAAGATAAATTACTGATTGAAAAGAGTAACTACATTGGAACAGATCTGGAACGGCTTCAAAGAAATAAATTTATAATCTCTGGTTTCTATTTTGCAGCTTGATTTGCTTATTCTTGAGCTTTTGCTGTTTATGTAAATGGGTTACTTCTTGTAGGGATTGCTATACTGCATTTGTGCACCTTCTCCCCTCAGCCCAACCTATCACTCACTTGAAAGAAAGTTGATTTTGATTCTTGTGTGAAGCTCGAATATAGCACTTACCCACTTTCAAGGACTTTCTGACATATTTATAAATTTCTAAATGTCTTGAAGTGTGATACTTGTGTGTACATAGGTGTGTTTCAGAGACAGATTTGGTACATGCACTGCTATCACATGAAGAAAACAGCCTGTCCCACTAAAAGAGAAAAAACTGATCCCCCTCCACACATACACGCACACACCCCTTTTTCCTAATGGAAGTTTAGGTAGCAGCATACAAAATCACATCTTTTTTCTTCTTCTGGTGAATGATTCAGTCAATTCATTTGCTACAAGCATTGTGGATTCTTACTGTGAATAAAAGCATCCTGCCACCCATAATGCATGTGATCATAGAATCATAGAATTGGAAGACACCTCATGGATTATCTAATCCAACTCCCTGTGTGCAGGAAAAGCACAATAAAGTACGTCCAAATGGCCATCCTGCCTCCAAAAAAAGAGCTTCCACCAGACTCAGAGGCAATGAGTTCCACTGCTGAAGAGCCATTACAATCAGGAAGTTTTTCCTATTGATCAGGTGGAATCACCTTTCCTGATCATATGAACTGAACCAATTAATGAAATCTTTCAATACTTTTGTTCATACATCGTTTGTTCTAATATTGAAATTCTATATAGCTAACCCAGTGTGTTCACTGTTCAGTAATATTTTTCCATATATCTTTATTGCCAACTAGCTACACCCAACTATGCTTCGCTGTGGCTCAGTCTGATATGAAATGAATGAGATAGTAAATAAAAGTATTCTTGCAAACATAGATTCACCGAGAATACACATCATTCAATTCAATATTCTACCTGTTGTTGCTGTGTCTGTGTGGAATGAAAGGAAAGGAAAGGAAAGAGGTTTTTAGCAGAAATATTTTTATTGTAAAGCTAGTGTATTGGCTACATTAATGGTTTGCCTGTTTTCTGCATACACATAAAAATCTGACCATTTACTGACTCCGGAGCATGTGACATATAAGTGACCCTGAGAGAAGAAATTGTTTTCTACATTCAACCCGCACACTTGCAAAGATTTCCCCTGCACTTTATTGAAAGTCATAGCAAACACAAAGCATATTGGAAATTGAAGTTGTTAGTACTTGAACACCATATCGGTTGGTATGAGTGGTATGCCAATAGCAACCAATCATAGCTCAGCTTTCATTTCTTATACTGCTGAAGTGAAATGACAGCTGCTGTGTGATCGGTTGGTTTTTCTTATACTGCTGAGGTAAAAGGAAAGCTGCTTTGTAATAGGTTGTTGTTTCATTCACTGCTGAGGTAAAATGAAAACTTGGCTGTGAGTGGTTGCTTTGGGCATCACAGATTCCACTTTGTCTACTCCAGGGCTGCTAGTTTTACTCTAAATACATGCATGTTTACAAATGCACCGTTGTGTCAAAATTTCATTTTGCTATTAAAACACGCGCATAGTGGAATGCAACATTGTGTCAAAATGTCAAGTCAATCGACTGACTAATTTTAGAGTTTTGCAAACACAAACATATGCAGGCTGAGATTTCATATATAAAGAAGATATATGAGGAATGGGGAGGGGTACAAGAGTGGGTATTGAACAGGGGCGTCTTACATTTTCATCTTCTTCCATTGCTGTCTAATACTAAAAAGCTTTCTATGATGTTAAAAAAGAAAATAATAATTATTTCTTTTCTAATCCAAATCAGAAGAATAGAAAAGTGGGTATACAGTAATATTAAACAGTTCAGGTTGAGACACATTTAGTTGGGATCCACCTATGTAATATCATTTTAGAAAATTTAAGCCATTTCAGACTTTGAGGTTAAGCAAGTGAACTGAGATTAGATAGATTCAGCTTCCTACTCCTCTTGGTTTTTTGTGTAGTTCAGGGTTAACTTTCCTAACCATTATCTGTGTAGCTAACTAGATGTTTCTGTACTTCCCCCTTCCAGTTGCACCATGAAGAACTAGTTGTCTGTACCACTTATAAGCACCAGTAATTGGAGCGCTAAAGTGGTTGCTGTTGTCATTTTTCCCATGCTACTCAAATATATTTTGACTGATGGTTTTACAAAATCACATTCTCCTTCTTGAGGAGAATTCAGTCAGCTTGATTCTTTATTAGCCCTTGAAGACATTTTGTCTCCGTTGAGTGATTTGTATCTCATGACACTTAACATTTTGTCTGTGCATCTGATTTACTTCTAGGTTGGAAATCTTGGACTGCTGTTCATGCTCCTTTTTTTCATCTATGCTGCTTTGGGAGTGGAGCTCTTTGGGAAACTTGGTAAGTTTTTGAGCACAGAGGTGAATCATAAAATTACATGATGAGTAAGATTCTTATAATGTACCAGGCTTCACATTGGCTGAAATCCAGAAGGCAATTTCTGATTATTTTCATCATATCAAAGAATCTCATACTACAGTGAATTTCTTTTGTACGTCTCATTGCCCAGTTAGACTGAGCCTTCCTAGTGATTTTGTACTGTTCAGGGAATGCACAATCATAGCTCGGTTGATGCATTTGTCTTTCCTCCAGCTATTTTGGTAATTGCACAGATACTGTATTTTTCCAGTACTCTGAGCATTTGGACTATTGCAGAAATGCAGGAATTCCTGCCTCTGCAGCATGAGAAAGTTGTACTGGCATTTTAAAGGAGGTAATTATATGCTATCCCTGCCCTCATTTACTTTATCTAGAACAATTTGCAGTTAGCTTGAAAATGTTAAATGATAAGGCTGCAGAGAGAAAGAGATATGTCCAAATGGTCTCTTGGAATTATCCTTCTGTTAGTGGGAAGTGATAACTTATCCCACCAGAATGCATCAGAAGTTTCTGTTTCTGAGTTTCTTGGCTCAGCAGCAGCAGCAACAACAATGTTGTCTCTTCATTTTTTTTCCATGCACCATTGTGGACTTCAGTTTGTGGCTACTTTCATATATAGAATAATAAAGTGACTTGCATAAATTATTCTATGATTTGTTAAGAAAAAAACTGAATATTCCTAAATTTTAAATGATTTTATTTTAGAAATATACATCCCGATTGCAGAAATAACAGATCAAAAGATGGATAGAGTAAACTAACATTAATTTACTAATTTAATAGTACTATATATACTCGAGTATAAGCCTAGTTCTTCGCCCCTTTTTAGGCTGAAAAAGCCCCACTCGGCTTATACTCGGGTGAGGGTCCTGGTGGTAAGGTGTGGGGCTGAAAGAAGAGCTTCTTTCAGCCCCATGCCTTCCTGCCAGGACCTTTATCTCTCCGCACAGCAACCCAGATCTCTTTCCTTTCCTCCTCTCTTGGTGCAGCATGTACCTTCCTCTCCTTCTCTCACAGTGCCAGTCTTTCCCACTTTTCAGTATTCATATACACACAGCATTTCCCCCAAAATGTATAGTTTAAAAAATATACTATGATGATTATTGGAAGGATACAAAAGCACATTTACATTGAAGAAGGTTAGAATAATGTTTTAATCAGAGCTGGATGGTCTTACCTTAAATTACAGTTTTATGTAATATTCAAAAACACTTAACCTACTGATTCCTCAATTAATGTGATTTCATTGCTTTCTATTTTTATTTTGAAATTTACCATTAGCTGCTGCATTTCCCACCCTTGGCTTATACTCAAGTCAATAAGTTTTTCCCAGATTTCTGTGGTAAAATTAGGTGCCTCGGCTTATATTCAGGTCATCTTATACTCGAGGATATACGGTATATGTTCCAACAATACGTTTTTGATTTATGAGGTCAAAATATACTGTTTTTCCTAATGGATTATCACAGAGGTGTTACATAGACCTCACTGTAGCACATGAACAAGTGTTAAATGAAGTTGTTGCTGGGAATTGGTTGTCCTTAAGTGGATTAGCAGTTCAGTCACTTACTTTGTCACTCTTGCTGGCTCTAACATCTGGCTCCAAAGTACTTGCTGACTACAGCCTCTGCATGCTAATAGTCCATTAATTTTAATAGGAAATGCAGAGGTGCCATTTTTGCAGGATAGGATCTAATGAAAATAGAGAAAAATGTTTTGATGCTTCCAAATGTAAGAATAGAACGACAACTGTTGGAAAGTAGTTTCTTTTCAGTAATGCAGAAATATAAGGCATTTTCTTCAAACCAAGCAGTTTTGGAGATAATCAGATGTTGCTCATTTTGCCAATTCTGATGTTCTGTCAAATAACAGAATTGGCAAAATGTGTAAATAGAACTTTTTGAATCCTGCAGATACCATGCCCGGTGCCTGTGTGCAGGAAAGGTTCTTGAAACTATTCTCTAGAAATGTAGCCTTCCCAAGATCTGAAAAGGAGTATTGCAAAGAACTTGCTTTTCAGCTCTTGTCCTTCATTGGAAAGTAGTCATTTATTCTATTTTACATCCTTCACTTGCTTCTTTTGCAGTATGCAATGATGAGAATCCCTGTGAGGGCATGAGCCGTCATGCCACCTTTGAGAACTTTGGGATGGCTTTCCTCACACTTTTCCAGGTCTCCACTGGTGACAACTGGAATGGAATAATGAAGGTAACTTGGTCTACTGATGGAAATAATTTTTGTGCTTCAAGAAAAAGTATGCTGAAATAGAAATGGAGTAACACTGCTTTGAAGTGTGTGAGAGAGAAAGAGAGAGAGATTGCCAGGCAGCACTGAGGAATGTAATGCATTTGAAGCACAACAAGCAATGTGGATTTTGGGGGTTCTTGAAGTAGTTAATCTAAAATGCTTCTCACAAGGAGGGACAACCAAAGAAAAAAGTCCACTTGTAGGACATTGTTGGTATCCCATTGGTGACTGCCAATGTATTGTGTGAAATACAGAGACTAGTATGGAGATTGAGCTGTTACTGTGTGCTCCTACATCCTTGTGCCCTTTTTGATTGGCAATGATTTAGTCAGAAATGCAACATACATTTCTGCCAATCAAAATGAGCACATCACAATTCATATGGCAAGATGCATTGGCAACCTATTAGGTTCTGATGGTGTTATAACTTAAACAAATAATTGCTCTTTGAATAGAGTTAATATTGAAGCAATCAGCAATCTCTCGTCAAAATATTTTGAGACATAAAAAATAAATAAAAATATTCGCAGCACTTCCCACTTTACATGCAGGACCAAAGATGTAGCACATTTTAGAGTTAAATGGGACTGGGTTTTCATTGATTTTCTGGAAAATTCCAATCATCTTGATAGATTTACTGTAGTTCCAGGAAACCAAAACAAGGGATAGGGAAGGGGAGTTCCATCTACAGAAACATTTAACCATTAGGAGTCCAAAGTCCTATGTACCATCTTTTTCTATGTATTTTGTCTGAGGAAGCAGATTCTGTTTGCATTTGTTACTTCAGCTTTTCCTCTCTTCCTCTTTCTCCATGTATGTGCATATGTGCTCGGGGTGTGTTTTCTGTTTGCTTTTCTTTGTTTGTTTGTTTTGTCCCTTTGTGGTCTAAATTACTTCTCAAGGACACACTACGTGACTGCACCCATGATGACCGGAGTTGCCTCAGCAACCTGCAGTTCATCTCGCCTCTGTACTTTGTCAGCTTTGTGCTCACCGCCCAGTTTGTCCTCATCAATGTAGTAGTAGCTGTGCTCATGAAACATCTAGATGACAGCAACAAGGAAGCCCAAGAAGATGCAGAAATGGATGCTGAGATTGAGCTGGAGATGGCACATGGGATGTATCCCCATAGCTCACTGAACCCTGGACAAGATGGAGGAGGTGGAAGAATGGACCCCGAAGGACATCTGTGCATGGCATGCTTCTCTCCTGCCCAGGTAGGCAGGACTCTTTTTTTTCTGCTCATAGTAAAACTTTAGTACATTGATGTGAAGAGAAGAAGACCAGCATAGGTGACTATAGGGCCTGCCGATGGAAAACTTTGTGCTTTAAACTCCATAGGATTGACTGAATATTTTGGTACATTGACAGAACCTCCCAGTGCCAGAACTTAGAACAGCAAGTCAGGTCTATATAAGCAGCATAAGACCAGAACTATATAAGACATTTGAGGAAAATGAGAAGGGATATTGCCAGGCAGAGCTAAGGAGCATTCATGTAGGTACATAAGGAAGAACGAGGGGTTCTGCAGAACGTGGCTGAGGAACACTTACATAGTCAAATAACATGCTTCATTAGTGCCTTTCTTCACATAATCAATTATAGCCCCAACATTTTACATCATCATACAGGGCTATATTCTGCCTCCTTTACTCCCCAATTCATAAGACCACATCTCTCTGATAGCCTTCTGGATTTAAATATGACTGTTTGCCGCAGGCAGAGATTACCTACATGAGTGGAGGCGGCAGAAGACAAACTTCAATTCACAAACACTGAAACAAACAAAAACCTGGAGTTCTTAAAATGATTTTTCCCATCCTCCCCCCTTTCTTGTCCCCTAGGAGAACTTATGGCTGGACAGTGTCTCTTTAATTATTAAGGACTCCTTCGACGGGGAGTTAATGATCATCGATAACCTATCGGGCTCCGTCTTCCATCATTACTCCTCGCCGGCCATGTGCGAGAAGTGTAACCATGACAAGCAAGAGGTAACCTGCGTGCGAGGTTATGGGAGGGGGACCCCCCACGTGTGTGAGAACACACCAGCACACCTATAGGCACACTGAGATCTGTTTGGGATAGTCTTTTGGTTGTAGATGACTTAGTTTTGTTACCAGAGTGCATTTGATAAGTGATGTCCTCAGTAGTAGTAAAGTATTGTTGGCAGAAGGATGAATGGAAGGACAGATGGACTAGCAAGAATGGCAGAAAAAGATATGGATGTGTAGAGATGAAGGAAGAATTGTTATCATAGATTATCAGTACTGGCCCCTTAGGGAAAGCAGTGCTTTGTTTTGTTCTTGGAAGACACAGGTTGAGGGAGGAATGCAATGTACAGTTTTTAAGGTTCTGTTATCAGTTCAGCAAGGATTTGGAATTACCCATGTAGCTTTTAGTATAGCTCTTCCTTTTAATTCCTAATTCAACTGAGAGGCTTTTGGCATTTTGTTCATCATGTGTTTGCTGGTATTGGTGCAGCACAGTTTCTGTAGGAAAAGAACTGTCTAAGTTAAAATCTATTTCAAACATGGTTTAAAGCAGCCAGCGACTATCTCAGCTCTGTCTAGCTATGAAAAGGGTTCAGGCTTTAGGATTAAAATTGCTAATGAAAGGCATGGGAAGTGGCTGCAATAGGGAAAAAATGGATTACTAATCTAGGTGTTAGTGGTTGTTGAAAATAACTATAGGTCAAGGAGATGTAATCTCATTCTTGCACAATCATCTGTTGTTTTTCTCCAATTAATTCTAATGGTTTAGTTATATGGGTTTCAAAGATGCAGAGATGCCCAAGGGAATGTTCACAAATCAAGAGGCCATTGATAGACTACTGCCACATCTATCCAAATGGAGCTCTAAATTGACTCCCAGAGAGTACTAGATTTTGTTTATTTACAAAGACATTTTAACAGTAACTTTTAAAAGATATAAAAACTTAATGTAAATAATTATTTCCAGAGTCTGGATTTGGCAAACCCTTAATCTTTGTGTTAGCATTTGTTAATACAGTATATGTATGCACATAATTTTGTGTTATGAACAGTACAGTCTTCTTAAAATTAAGAAAGAAATCATTCACATCAATTCATGATTAATTTATTACAACAACAGTATAGCATTCTAGAGAAAGTTGTATCAAGTCTTGAGTTAATCAAATCTTCAAGTGTATACTTAGTTTGACTTCATATTAATACCAATACTGTGCTTTACATGGAGATAATCTTAAAATTGAAATACTGTGTAAGGGTGTGCTATAATATTTGGCAGACAGTAAGAGGACGTTTCCTTGTGAGTGTGCCCTCAAAATATATGAGTATGCACTCAAAGTCAATCAAAGGGCCCTTCCACACAGCCATATAATCAAGAATATCAAGGCAGAAAATCCCACAATATCTGCTTTGAACTGGTTATCTGAGTCTACACTGTCATATATTCCAGTTCAAAGCAGATAATGTGGGATTTTATTCAGCTGTGTGTAAGAGGCCAAAGACATGAGAATGAAATGATTAGACTTGTGGCTCAAAAAATCTGCATTACACTTCAGAGATATACAGCTATTTTTTCTACATAAAGATAATCTCCATGCAAGATGAGAGTGCTATCTAATATCTAACCTTATCTGGTTTCCATTTAAAAATTGGTAATACCGGGAGCCCCTGGTGGCACAGTGGGTTAAACCCCTGTGCCGGCAGGACTGAAGACCGACAGGTCACAGGTTCGAATCCAGGGAGAGGCGGATGAGCTTCCTCTATCAGCTCCAGCTCCTCATGCAGGGACATGAGAGAAGCCTCCCACAAGGATGATAAAAACATCAAATCATCCAGGCGTCTCCTGGGCAACGTCCTTGCAGACGGCCAATTCTCTCACACCAGGAGCGACTTGCAGTTTCTCAAGTCGTTCCTGACACGACAAAAAAATTTTTTTTAAATTAGTCAGTTATTTGAAATTGAAACCTGATCCAGTTTACACAAACAATCCCAAGCAGTTACTTGGGGTGCAAAATTTGTACAGCTTAGTCACATCAAAACTACGGGACCCATGAATATCTCTTATACGTTACATATCTGGTGATAAGTAATAATTAGTGTACAAAAATCTTTATGTAAGAGCACTTATACATCGGTTCGATGAAACATCTCATCAAAACAACTATCTCTAGTGAGCTAATCCAGGCTTTGGTCATTAGTACTCATGATTTACCCATGCACGTGACTAGCTGCAGGTCTAGCAGAGTTCTTAAGTTCTTAACGCTCAGTTAGAAGGCTTTCATCCAAAAATGCATTAGGATGACTCAGAAATTTATAATGCATAAATAGCTCCATTAGGGCTTTTTAGCCTGATTCGGTTTTCTGTTGCTAAAAATTGATACTTTAATACCAGAACTTGAAAAGCTTTGTGCTCTGTTCCAAAAAGCAACATATGCCAACCATGCAGTAACGCATATATACGAGTGTCAAGAAAATCATCACTTTATAGCAAAGTGGCCAACAAGCAGCCTGAAAGCTGCATGTTGTTCCCTCCCCCAGGCTAATATTTTATTGTTGCTATTGTCATTATTAAAATAGGTCCACTAAAACTGGCAGTCTGTCACAGTTGCTGACAAAAGTGTACCAATTAAATTTCATGATGGCCACACTACCATTGTGTCCAGACTTTGATGGCAGCTCTAATTACACCAGGAAGTTCAGCAGCAAAATTACAGTGCAATTTTATCACCAGTAGTTTAGCTATTCTAAGGAGTTCAGTGTGCCCCCTGACCCCTTGGGTTGCCCAACTTGGCTTCATAGCATCAGAGCAGTTAGATGTGAACCCTAGGCTGGTGGCTGGCAACTGTCACAGGACCTTTGGAACCATTTCAGACATTCATTCAGCCAGTTTCTCACTAGAAGTGTATGTCTCCAGCCACTTCATTGTAGACGTTTTCAAAACAGTCATAAGAAACGTAGCATCAGGAGTGGCTCTAATCAACCAGAATGAAATCCTGCTCAGAATCCAATTAGCTGTGAAGCTCTTTAGGACAAAACATATTGAAATTATTTTAAAACTCGATAAGAGTAGATTAGTACTTCGGCAATAGTTCTGTTAATCTCATTGGTATTTGCAGACACTCAAATCTCCTCTTTTTGTGCCAGAATATACTAAAACCCAAATATTCCTGCATGGCAGGAAACTGGATTGGATGACTCTTGTGGTCTCTTCCAGTGTTATGTTTCTATGATTCTTTGAATAATACCTCAAGTGAATTTTCTACATGGATAATCATGGCCATATTATTATTATTATTATTATTATTATTATTGTAGTTGTTGTTATTCTGCAATCCAAATGCTGGGCCTCTTGCAGACTTCATGCATAAGACTATTTGTTAAATACAAGGTTATTCAAGCTATTTAATATTTTAATTATATTTTTCTTAATTTAAATTTTGTTCCAATACATTTTAATTATAACAAATATGTAGTTTTTAATTGCCTTTATGTAGGTCATTAATAGCTTTTGGACTTGTGTGAGGAGGGGAGGAATAGGAATACAGCATGCAAACAATAAGTATATTTCATGAGTTGGAATTGCAAAAAAAAATATGAGAGAATGTTTGTCTTCTTAAAATTCAATTAATATTTTCATTCTCCAAGCACTAATACTATTTTTTACTGTTCAAAATAAAACTGGGTATGGAAAGCTTTAGGAAAGCCTGGTATTACATTTTCCAAGTCATACATTATCTCATCATACTCACCTCTTTGCTCTTTTTGTGGCATTACTCTAATTTCATAATCAGTCTTTATGTAGTCTACATATATGCTAGCAATTTGTATTGGTACGACATGGAATGGTTAATTAGCATCTCGTGGTATAGTCTGTCAACCCATAATGGAGAATAGTAGCTTTTAGCATAAACTTGTTCTCTATAATTGGTGAAGAGTTTCTTTTGTACTAAACCTCAAATGAAAAGGTTGTCTCTTCCTGCAAAGCAATAGTACAGCAAATTGCAATGTCTAGCACCTTTTAAAATATGGCTTTTTAAAAAGTTACAGGTCAGGAAAGGTTACCTTGAAGTTATTTTTGCATAGGGCCAGAATTAAGCGTATTTTGATATGTCCTTCACTTATGAGTTGACAAGACTCATTAGATGAGTGGTTTATGCAAAGATTATGTTTTCTTTATGTGTGTAGATATTGTGATCTAGTTGTGTTGTGTGTTGGTGTGGTGTTATTGTGGCTTTCCTTCCCTTTCCTATTTTACTGTTTAGATTATTGGTGGCATAGGCTAGAAAACATAGTCTACAATCCAGCACACTAATAAGCAGGCTTAAATCCCATTGCTCTTAAAAGGATGGTGCTCTAACCAGAGTAGTTCTTTGAATTGTTTCCATGGAAGTACTACGGTGTTAGTGCTATGAAGAATGCAGTCACTGTGTCCTTGTGCTGGATTACATCCTGATAGTAAATTATCCTTTTGGAAATCTGCTTCAGGCACATGAACTATCAGTCTGAAGGAGTCCTAACATATGGCACTGCCACTGATTCTGTTATACTTCCTGTCCAAAGCCATCAGCTCTCCATGCCATTTTTCGTCACTATTTTACATGCAATATATGCATACTGAGCTCTGCACAAACACAAAAATGTAAGGACCTTGCCTGAGGAGCCCCGCAAACTAGGTCAAAAGCATGTAGCTAAAATATAACCAGAAAAGATCAAATGCCAGAACGGATTAGTAGAACCTCTCTAAAAACCAGCACTATATTCTGAAGGGGAGGATACGTAGGTTGGATCATAAAACAAATAAGAAATTCACCCAAAGAATGAAAAGAAAAAACTAATCCAAGGAACCAAGAGTTAGGAGAGGTGGATAGTTTCTGATAGGAAGGGAGACTTCAAAATAAGAAAGAGTATCTCATTCATTGTAATGAAGACAGCAACAAAAGAAGAAAACCGGAAAGAGGAGCTATGACAGAAAATATAGAATGGCTCTTTAGTTCTTTCCTGGTGTTCTGGAATTAGGAAAAAACAGAAGCAAGATGCCTAGAAGGAGTTACACTAAGACAAGAACTGGTCAGCTGTATTTTCATCTGGACTGTCTAAAACATGGTTACAGTTGCTGGAATGAAGGCATCATCACTATCATCTGTTTGTCTGAGACATACTCTGTTATCCACAAAAAACATTATTTCACTGAACTCCAAGATAGACTCCATTCTCATTAGCCTGGGTAATTCTCCTCTCTCTACCACCAATGCAGATTCAAACCCAGTTACACCTAGAGTCATGGAGTCAAAACCTTCAAGGTTGGATTAAAAGATCTTCCTTCCTGATCAATGTGTTGATAAGAAGGACTTCAACTGAAAAACTGCATAAGAAATGCTTAGGTCTTGTTTGTTCTTGCTCCTTTCCACCACTCAGGACCCTTCCACACAACCATATAACCCTGAACATCATGGCAGATAATCCACAATATCAGCTTTGAACTGGGTTATCTGAGTCCACGCTGCCAAAGCAGATAATGTGTGATTTTATACAGCTGTGTGGAAGGGACCTCAAGAAACAATTCCACTGTATGCAGAATTGGGTTAGGACTCTTTAAAGCTCATGTGTGGTCTTTCTCCTTGTCTTTCCCATGTGACTGGTTGAGGCGCAGAATTAAATTGTGTTTTGTTACAGCATAATCTTTCCCGCTCTTACTCACTGCAGGTCCAGCTGGCTGAAATGGAAGGCTTATCCCTTAACTCTGATAAGTCTTCTGTCCTCCTTGGGGATGACGAAGATAACCAGAGTGGGGATCTGCCAAGCCCCAAGGAAACCAAGGTAAAGCATTCTGAGAGCTTGTCTGTATATGTATTCACAATCTTCCTTTGAAAAGCCATCAGCTTTCCTGGCAGTAGAATAAATTAAGGTTTCTCACTCACTGTCTCCAAATGTGTGGGCTTTGTTCTCATCTTTGCCACCAATGTAAGGATTTTCTCCTGTCCCAGCACCATAGTCGCCAACTATGGGAACATTCTATATGTCCTCATGGTTCCTATGTAATACATTGTTTTCTTTGATTCTAAGATGCCTTCAATCATAAGATGCACATAATTTCAGTACCACCAAAAAGTTGGTCTGTCCCTAAAGTAAAGGGAATGGATCTTTGTACTCAGTGCAGAAGAGCCAAGAAAGGAATGTAAAGATTGAGGCAGGTGGAGAAGGAACCCAGACACCTTTGTAGAATTCAGTACATTAGCAAAGTGCATAATAGTTTTTGTGTCTTGTCATGGACAAAAATGCAGAGGAGTCTGGAACAGCATCTTTCTACTTCAAGAACAATGTGGCTTGTATCAAGGCTGTTCTGCACACCTCTCCACCCGCTGTACAGCCCTGACTTGGTTCGGTGCAAGTTCTTTCCCAAAGCGCAAAGCCTACCTCCAAGGACATCATTTTGGGACAGCTGAAAATGCACAGGCATTTGCAATGAAGCTTTGAACAACATCTTATGTAGAGATCCCCTCCACTACTATTAAAAGTGGCAACAATGCTGAAACCACTGTATTCGATCATAAGGAGCATATTTTTAAGGAGATACTGTAACTGCATGTATTTTCAATAAAAACATTTTAATCATTCTCGTTAATTTTCGGACAGACCTAAAAAGAAAGTCAGGGAAAGCTGACATGATTCTTTTGAACACATTGTTGGTAGAATTTATGGCAGCTAATGACAAGGTGTCACAAAAATAGGGTTCAAAAGTTGCCATGTGTTTCCACATGGCATAGTGGCTTCTGACTATAGTACAGGAACCTTCTTTCTGAGATGTTAAGGATAGGTAGATCCCTAAGGTTGGAGTAAAATTGCTAAAATATTGGTTGTGAGCAGAAGCTGTATAATCTCTTTTACTACCCTCTGATCCAAGCGTTATCATCCTCTGTTCCAAGCAATGCATCACTGTGCAGAAGCACCCGGCAATTTGACCTTTGTAATTTATCATGTGCCTCCTTTTTTATTGCGCTACTAAAGATGGTGCAGGGAAGGTTCTCAAATGAATTTACATCCTGATGCTACTGCCCAAGCCCACACCTGCTTAGCTTCAGCCCTAGAAGGCTATACCATCAGGCCTCGGGAAGGCATATCTTCCAGATATTTGAAAGCAATACTAATCTTGCCAAATCATGGGTTATTTAAAGAATGAATGGGGTCCTGATTTACACTTTCCTTTTCTCATATCAGTGGATATATGTAAAATTTCAAAGAGCAAACATCTTTATTCCAACTAGGATGGTGATGACAGCCCTAACTCCATGGGGGTTACACCTGTGGAGGAATGTCTCTTCCCTTTAACAAGTACAGATGCTCCTCCTGCTCCAGAAAGCTACCTTTGTGAAATGGAGAAAATCCCTTTCAGTCCAGTCCAGTCTTGGCTAACAAATGAGAGCAACCAAGGTAGGTGGCAATAGCTCACATTTCAATGATACAATAGCAAAAGTCGGAATGCTATTTTTATATTAGATAAATGTCAGTAACACGCTCATTTTTATTATTTAAAAACAGTTCATTAATTTATAAAATGTATTCCATTTCTATATTTCATTCTGCTGCCAGTATCTTTACTGCTTTACATTTTTCCAAGGACTCTGTGAAGGTAGAGTTGGTCTATTTCAGTAAGAAAGTTAATGTTTAGCCAAATCACGCTTCATAGTAGAACAGGCTTTATCATAACTTTGGACACCTTTCTATGAAACCCCAAAGAATATGCCAAAATAAAGGCATCCTGAAAATGATGGCAGGTCCTGTACTGTTGCTCAAGACCCATTTGGGCAGGAAGGGCGTGCCCATGTGAAGGCCAACTGTGTTCTCTCTGGAGTTGGCTGATATTCCTAGGGTAGGTTTCCCTTTTCCTGACTAAGGGAAGACAAGACATACAGCAGTCATAGTAATTTAGAGGTAAAAAGCGCCCTATAGGTAGGATGCATATACACTATTTTAGTGAGGCACCAGCACTTTTTGATACAGAAGGCTAAAGACCTTGCAAAAATACAATACCAGTCGTTCCATAGCATAGAACCATGACAGTTGAAGTGATGTCAAACTGCATTAGATGCACCCTGAGTTTCAAGATATATTAATAAAAGAACTCTCTCCTTGTAAAGTACTACACAGAGAGAAAGAAATGGATGCCTTCTGTATTGCTTCCAATGCTCACTACTGGAACAGGATGGGTAACTGTAGTAGAGTAGGGAGCCACACAACTGCACTCCATGAAACCTTGTCAGACTATATTTTGGGGTTTTTTTGTCCCCAGATGCTGTCTAGGGGAGAAGAGTGTCATTTCACCATGTTTTGAGGGCTCTTGGGCTATTGCAGATCCAAGAGGTGTCTTTTTTAACAACAGGAAGAGAGCATAAATCATTTCCTGTTTCAAAAACATATTTTTCCTCTGTCCACACCCCTAAAAGATGTTTTGAGAGTGAAATAGATTTCTGAAAATGTTTTGCAAAAAAAAGGACAAAGAGCTCTAAATGTAATGGAAATGCTCTCCATTTCCCTTCACAGAGTTTCGAGAGCCTTTTTGGAGGGGAAAATTTGTTCTTTTTTTTTCAAAACTAATTTTTCCTCAACTCCCAGTGAACCCTGGGGCTAAATGCAACCCATAGTGCACTTTATAAACCACTGCACCTGGGATGGAAAAGAGAATAGAAAGGTGTGGGCGAAATATGCAGAACCTGTAAAAACATATTTGAAAGCTAGTCTTTGACTTGTCGATTTCCTGTTAATTTATCTCATCCCCCACCACACTATTTTGACAGATCCTCCCAGCCCCTTCTCTCCAGATGCATCTCATCCTCTGTTGCCTGTACCAGCAGAGCATTTCCTTCCAGCTGTTTCTGCCAGTCAGCCAAGTCAGGAGGAAGCTTCCTGCCCAGAGACTCTCCCTAAAATCTCTCTGCAGGCTTCTTGGGCTTCACTACAATCTCAAAATGTGAACTGTTCACTTGTCCATCAGGTAAGGGTACCTATACTTACCACACTTCTATCTGTCCATAGTCACGTGCTTTAACATGTGAAAGGAAAGAGGAAAGAGGTGATCTTCATATATAGGATGATTTTTAACATGTAAACACCTTGCATTGCATGCACGGAAGTAGCAGTGGGGGTGGTATCTGTAATACTCCCACATTTTCTCACTGTGTCTTTCATTTTCCCCCATTGGGGGACAAATTATGCCTTACTGCAGAGTTCTTTTGAGAACATGCCCTTCATACTTTGGTAAATCAAGGCTGTGGGGTTAATTTTGAATAATTGAGTTGGAAGTGACATGCAAGGGCCATCCTATCCAACCGCTTGGCATCCAATCCACTCCTGACAGATGACCATCTAGCCATTGTTTAAAAACCTCCAGAGAAGAAGACTCACCATGCTCTAAGGCAACATATTCCACTGCCGAACAGTTCTTACCATCAGGGAGTTCTTCCTAATGTTTAGGTTCAATCTTTTTTCCTGTTGTTTAAATCCCTTGCTCACTGTCCTGCTCTCTCTCCAGTCTAAACATTCAGCTCCATAAGAAACTCCTTGCAGGGCATAGTATCCAGCCCTTTTCCCATTTTGATTTCCCTTCTATGGACACATTCTATCGTTCCAGTATTCTTGAACTGTGGTGCCCATAACTGGACACAGTATGCCAGGTAAAGTCTGGCCAGTTCTCCTCAAATCTAATGTTCCTCCTGGACAGATGTTATAATCTGCCAGACTATACACAAAAAGGTGAATTATGATGTTGTGGTATAAGTCAGACACAGCTCCATAGCTGGCTAGGAGCAGGGCTGCAGAGACACAGATACAAGCCATCCCCCTTTCCTGTGCTAATTTCCCCAGGGAAAGGGTGAGGACAGCAATGTCCTCCTTGGCAGGGGACTGGATGGAATCAAACCTGATCCAGCTGTCCATACTGCCCCAAAACCCCAGGGTACTAAAGCAGGGGAAAGAGGGTTTAAAACAAGAAAAACCCAGGATACAAGAAACTACTAAGCATTGTAAAAACTGCCAACGTTCATTCACGGTGAGGATGGCTTTTTGAGCCTCTGTAGACAAGTCCTAAGTGACCTAAATCCTTGCCTGGGCTTACCTGATTTCCCCATCCTTACATGCTCAAATTATTATTCTAATTCTATCCCTGTGGACAGGTAATATATAAGAGCTACTGCATGCATTATAAAATTAATAATTTTGGTAAAGGCAAAAACCTGTGATAAGGAAAGGCGTTATCACCTTTTTCATAGCCACTATTCCTCCTTCCCAAATAATTCTTCTTTCTTTATTATCGGGCTGGTTTTGCTGCCAAATGCATAGGTTTGTCTATTATTATTTGTCTTATGAACTGTTGAAGAAACTGTTCAATGAGAAAGGTTTACCATATTCAATACTTTCAAGTTTAGAAAAAGGACAGGTGAGAGAAATATGACAGGGGTGGCAAAAGGTATGTATGATGTAGTGGAAATGGAGAGTGAGAAATGTTTGTCCTTCTCTCACTACACTAGATCCTCAGGTGATCTATCAGAGCTAAATGGTGGGATAAGCTAGAGTAGGGGTCCTCAAACTAAGGCCCGGGGGCCGGATACAGCCCTCCAAGGTCATTTACCCAGCCCTCGCTCAGGGTCAACCTAAACCTGAAACGACTTGAAGGCACACAACAACAACAACAATCCTGTCTCATCAGCCAAAAGCAGGCCCACCCTTCCCATTGAAATACTAATAAGTTTATATTTGTTAAATTGTTCTTCATTTTAATTATTGTTTTGTTTTTAAGTGTGTTTTTGCACTACAAATAAGATATGTGCAGTGTGCATAGGAATTCATTCATGTTTTTTCAAATTATAATCCGGCCCTCCAACAGTTTGAAGGACTGTGACCTGGCCCTCTGTTTAAAAAGTTTGTGGATCCCTGAGTTAGAGAGACAAATAAGTACTCTTTCTCACAGGGCATATTTAAGTTATGTGATTCCCTATGGGATTCACTACCACATGATCAGAACCTAGAAATGTAAATTAAGATGACTGACATATAACATATTCTTTAAAAAAAATAATCCCAATGCAGGATCCTAATATAAATGTTACTGATTATATCAAATCCACGGGGGGGGGGGGGGGGGGGTGTCAGAAGGTCCCAGTACCACAAACAGTAATATGTTACAAACATATTTACTTTTAGTATGTTACTTCCAAGTTCTGCATGTGATATGCAACATGAACTCTGTACCCACAGGACCAGTGCCTTTGATTTTATTTAATGCGGCTCACAAAATATGTCATATCTAGGCATTTTCCAGATCCTTCTGCACATTTATATGGCACTAGAGGGCCTAACAGTCCCTAAAGAGGTGCCTTCTTTAGATATTTCCTGGGTCCTCCAGCATGACTCTGCAGTATGTTTATGTCAGATGTTGTTCATTCAGTAGGATTCACTGTTATCCATAATTTTTGCTAACCATCGTAAGTCTAGAAATGTATCCCCTGAAGATACTGGGGTCATACTTTAATGATGACTGCCAATTAAAATTGCTTCACAAGATGATTAAGCAAATTAGATTAGACAAATTAATGGAGAAGAAGGTTATTAATACCTACTAGGCATAATAGTTTCATATTACCTGCTGTATCAGAGGTGGGATGTCTCCTGAATACTAGTTGCTAGGGAACATGGTCAGGGAGGCACTTAGAGTGTCCTATTTGTGGGCTTCCAAGAGGATTCTGTTTGCGCACGGCATGAAGAGAATGCTGGAGTAGACAGACCTTTGGTTTGAGGCAGGATGGTCCTTTTATTAACAGTAAAAAGTGGGTAGACCAATAAAAAAGATGATGATAAAGCTGGATGCCTGAAACAGGAGTATGAAGTAATGAACAGAGACACTGCAGGAAAACCAACAATATTGATTGGTCCTAAATAGAAAGTCAAAACAAAATACTGCATAATTACATTAACACAGTATGTAATGATGGACACTAATTTCAATGGCCTTTTAAAAGAGCAAAGCAAAGTAACAAAAAATAAATTTACCAATGTCTCCAGCATGTGAATTACTTTTATACAGTAAGCAACAGAGTGGTGAAATGGGATAGTCTGCTCCATCAAAGTAGTTCTTATGTTTCTCAAGGAGATGTGCCTGATCAAAAGCAGTTCTTGAGCTCCCCAGTTCGTTCTGAGTTGCACCTGGGGAGTGAAGTCAACAACAAGAGGAATAGATGAGTCTTCTCAGGGTAGGGATGAAGAATGAAATGTGAACAAGGAGTGTGTCTGGGCTATTATTTCCTACTAGCAGTGCCAAATGGCATCCTGAATGGCAATAAAGGCATGAAATAGTGCACATGTAGAACCTGCATACCTTCCAACTGTCCTGATTTTGCAGTGAAACCCTGATTAATCCTCTGTTTTTCAGCTGTTTTTAAAATGTCCAAGTTTGTCTGTTCTCTATTGACTTTTCCTCTTTGTCATTCTCTTACTTCAATAGTGGTAAACTGAATTCAAAGTGCAAAAGTAGTTTGCACTGTATTACCTCAGCAGTGGGTGGGAGAGAGAAGAGGAAAAGCAGAATCATGTCCTTCTCGTTCTGTTTAAGCAAAAGTAAACAGCTGCAACCTCCTTGTCTTGCAGCTGCAACAGTTGCAACCAACCTAGTATTTCCTCCTCATTGCCATTTTGTCCATATTCACTTTGCTCCTGCTTTTCAGCTGTGAAATGTTTGAGGGCATAGAATTGGCTGACATTGCCAAGTGGCATATGGTGAGCTGAGGACAACTTATAGTATGTTACTTCAGTATTAACATCCTCACAGAGTTATAGGTGATTAACCCTTTCCTTCTCACCCAGTATAAAAATAAACAAGTATGGAGACAACTGTGAAATCCACAACTTTGTTTCTCTCATTCCTGCTTGACCCTACAGACCACAGAGAGTGACACCTCCTTAGATGACAGCAGGAGCAACAGCTCAGAAGGAAGTTTGCAGACCACACTGGAGGACAGCTTAAACCTGAGTGACTCACCCCAGTGTGCCCTTGACCTCCCAGTAGCACTGTGTCCAGTGCCGGCAACAGCCACCCAAAAAGCCTTGGCCGCACCGCTTTCCCCTGCTTCTCGAAGGCAGAGTTTAAGGGGACGTGGAATCTTCACTCTTCGGAACATCAGGCGGCACCAGCGTAGCCACAGCAGCGGAGGAAGCACTAGTCCAGGGTGCCCTTACCATGACTCCATGGACCCTTCTGATGAGGAGGGTGCCGGGAGCAGCCTAAAGGGTGGAGGCAACAACAGTGAGCAGTCAGAGACCCTCAGCAGCCTCTCTCTGACTTCTTTGTTCTCACCACCCCCTCCACCCCAAGGTCTGGCACTGATAAAGAAGTGCAACAGCACCAGCAGTCTCCATGCCAACTCTTCTTCGCGGGGTTCTGCAGCGACAGAAACCAAGCAGCTCTACTCAGTTGACCCAAGGGGTTTTTTATCCATGCCCTCATGGATGACGGATTTCTACAAGAACAGCCCTTCTGCTAGAGAGGGTGGCATGGCAGGAGGCTCAGGCAGGATTGGGACTGCAGACCGCAGCTCCCCAATTCCTTCAGAGCTGCAGCTGGGGAGTGGAGTCAGCAAGAGGAATAGATGAGTCTCCTCGGGGCAGGGAGGAAGAATGAAACGTAAACAAGGAGCGTGTTTGGGCTACCATTTCCTATTAGCAGTTCCAAATGGCAGGACTGTGGAAAAGGAAGCAAGCAACCACGCAAAATATAAATATGTACGTCCGTGTGTGTATGTGTGCGCGTGCGTGCGTATGTGTGGAAAACAAAGACTTTTGTACCATACCTCAGAGACAAAAGAGAGTGAAAGCAATATGTGAACACCCCACCCATGCATGGGACCATCGCCTCTGCAAAGACGACCGTGGAGCAAGGGAGTCAAAAGATGAGAGCGCTGGGTTAAGAGGGTGAAGAGTCTCCAGCCAAATTATTGGCTGGAGGCAGCCATTTACTCCTCTACATAAAAAATATATATGTACAGACATATAGAATGATTTATTTATTTTTTTTACAGAGAGCTTAGGACTTCCAGCAAGTGCTAAGTGTGAAAAGGGCCAGATCTTAGAGGAAATATTTCAAAATGAAATGAGGAACCAAGCTGGATTTTAGGGCTTGGGTATCTTTTTTGAGGAAAATTGTATTGTTCATGCTTTAATTTGGGGGAAGGGGGGATTGTCTATTACCCAGTCAGGGTGAGTACAATGAACCAGATGTGTGAAGATGCTCCATGCAGATGTTGGGACGGGGTACAACAAGATCTGGAGTTGAAGTTTGCTGTTACTGTGTTATTGAGCTTTTCGAGCAATGTCAGTGAAACTCCATTCCTTACATGTTAACTCTGCAGAGCCTGCTCCTCCAGCTAAAAGGTTGAGGTGAGCTTTGGAGCATTAAAAGGAAGTAAAGTGTCAATGTGGAAAGAAGGAGAAGAACAGTCACACAATGATTACTGAGTACTCTGTTTCACTTCAAGTTTGCTTTTTTAAAAAAAATGCAGAGAGAAAGCTGCTTGCGGGAAACTTCTCTGTTTCGCTAAGGGTGTGGGGTTTATATTTTTATTTTCAGTACTTGTGAAGAATATATTTTAGAAGCCCAGAGGTACAAAAACCATCTCTAGAGAAAGGTAAGCTATTTTTACAAATATATAAAAAGGTGAAGAAAACAACCTCAAGAGAATGAGCAAGAGGAACAGAATGAACCTGTCGTATAAAGTGTAACTAGCTCTCTAGTTACCTGGAACTTGTATGGCGTCCCACGGAAATGTATTTCTGAGTGATCTTTTTAAAAGACTGTGAACCATTTCCCTCCAATGCTCTTGTATGGCTTTGTGATTTAAATCCAGTGTGGTGACTCCTGGATAACACCAGACAAAGTTCCTCCAGCCGTTCTAAACATTCAAAGCAATTAGCACTTTTTTGGCTCTAACACCAGAAGTTGATAGTGAGGGCCAAACTTTGCAACATAGTATAGCACTGTGTGTATGTTTTTAAAAACTATAAATAACTGCTGCTAGGGGGGTAAAGGATTGGGAGCATATTGTGCTGGGAGAAGGGATCTTACTGCTCCAAAGTCTTACTAAATGCCACCTAAACCCATTGGCTGCTATTTGGCAAAGGACAGAAGCTCCTGTTCCTCTCAATGAGTCCTCCCCTCCCATGCCAAGTGTCAACTTCCATAAACAATTCTAATCAGAAGCAAATCAAAGTCGTTAAATTGTCTCCCTAGTTGTCGCATTATTGTACCCATCAAAACCACAGCAGCTGATATTTACAGTTTATAGATGTGATGACACCAAGCTACATGTTAAATGTCACATGCAGCTTGGCCTTGTGAGAATGAGAAAGAGAGTATATGTATGTGTATATGCAATACAATGGGTTATTTGTTTACTAGTGAATGTTTGGAAGGGTTGCTCCTTACATTTTCAGTGCTTTGTACATGAAGAGTGGATTGATCACCCGGGAGGTTTGTGGGAGTTAGTAATAAGATGAGGGAGTCACTCTCCAAATTTTTTTAAAAGGCCACCTTATCTCTCCCTGTTAGATAACACATCCCCAGTGATTCAGTCCTCCTTTCAGGGTGCCTTTTATCTGATCTGACTAGCCAAGCTCTCTGCCAAGGCTGGTTTCAGTAAAGCATTCATGATCAATTTCAGTTACAAGGCAGGGTCTGGACATTCAGATATAACTTGAAAGCAAAGTTGCCAACAGACCAGAAAAAAAACCCACAGGCTCCTATGCCTTTGACAGAAGCATGATCTACAGAAAGTTGCAATAAGTGTATTTACGTAAAGTTTTAATTTTTAAAAATTAACAGAAAAAAGTTGGAAGTGAAACTCCCCATAACATGGAGATAAAACATTTTCCCAAACTTTTTGCTGAAAATTAAAACCCTGTTAAAGGCATGCCTGCAGAGGGTTTTTGAAAAGTTGGTAACCAACTTAAAGGGCTTTGGAAATATATATATACTGAAGGATTTTAATACTCTTTCCATCTAGCTCATTCTTCTCTACTGAGAGTCCTTCCAGACAGTCTCAAATCACAAAAGCAACTAGTATTTAAATTCCTGATTCCTTTCATGATTTAGGCCACACATAGGGTCCAAATCCCAGGTTTTTCCTGGGTGAGTGACTACATGCCCTCTACTAGCAAGCCCCCAGCCCCCTGTTTCTCCTAGTACATTTACAGGAGAAACAAGGGGCTGGGAGAGGAGTGTGGGGAATTCCCAAAGAACTGCAACGTCAGTGGGGGTTGGCCCCTGGAATCACAGAAGACAGTCCCAGGAGTCAATCCCCAAGAACTGAAAAGATCCAGATCTTGCAGTAGGGTTCAGATCTTTTCAGGTGTTTTGTAAAACTGGAATAAATAGGGAAATCCTGATTAGATTTATCCGAATTAACCTGAGGCATTGTTTGGACATCTCAGGTTAAACTGAAATCCATCACAGGTTTTGGGTCTGTGTGGAAGGGCCCTGAGAGTCACATACCCAGTAGTAGGGGAGAGGGTTGTTTTTCAGAATAAGGCATTTCTTTCTCCCACTAGTTGTGGTGGACCACACCTGTCTGTGTATATCTGGGTCCCTTCTGCATACCTGGGCCAAAGTTGCAGCCTTTTCAACAGCCATGACTGCTGCAGCATAAGGATTTTAAAAATCAGAACATTCCTGACTTATATGTCAAAACAGCTGCTTTGTTCTGTGTAATGAGGCAGTAAATACCAAATGTATCACAATGAACAGGAGATGGAATTTTAACATTGAATTCATCTCTTGGATAGTCACATATCTTTCATAGAGAATATAAAAGCAAACTGGCCAATGTCTAAGAGACCAAGAGAGTCCACTGCTTCAGAGACGTCACTGGTCTATGTTAATAAAGCAATAACAGTGGTCTTAATTTTCATTGTTTGTTTTTTTTTTTTGTTCTAATTTGTGGCACGCTTACTGCCAATTCTCAAAACCAGGATAGTATGGTGAGCAGAGAAAAGGCAACACACACACATACCCTTGTTGACTTAACCATGTGCACTTCTATTTGAACGAATCAAGGAAGCGTTCTACAAGAAAAGACTGACATTGATCATATCGCCGCCGCCATCCCAAGCTGTAGTTATATTGGGCCTAATTCATTGTGTATAACATAGATTCACCAACAAGTAATTCATAAGTCAAAGCAATCAAATGACATCTACCCCAGCGTGAAACCAACACAGGTAGCAAAGCTCTCACGTTATCTACTGAGATAGTTGAGTGAATATATCTGCTAAATAGGAATCTTACATTTCTAGTTGGATCCTATTTGTGCAAATCTGTTGTGAAACCTCATGAGTAACTTGGTCCAATGTTGCTTCCCCACATATATGCCCTTCTAAGGCATTTGGTATTGAACAGTTTGATGTTGACATTGTGTTTATTTGTACTTGAAAAATAGAAAGACCAAAGTAAAATTATCAAAACAGCCCACTCACATTGAAAGGCAGCATATAAACAGTTTGTAACTTTGACCCTGCATATTTCAAATGTAGCCTTAAATGGCAATAATCTGAGTATCAAAAGTAGCTGGGAATCCACCTGGCCTTGGAAATGGCCATGAAATATGAAAATGCTAAATGTTTCCAGTGGGATGCTTAACTTTTCCCATGCCTGCCTGTAAGTCCCTGCAACATTACTAGGAACTTAGCTTTCCACTATAATATGTAGTTCTTCCAGAATGATCTACAATCAAGGAGCATGTCTTATGCATGTTTAATCAGAACTTAAGTCCCATTCTCCAGTGAGGCTGTAGTGGGTCTCCAAGAACATGTTTGAGAAAGCATCTACTCACAGTCACAGATAAAGGGTTGTCTTTATTAATACAAAGTGGAGAAATTTGCTCCAGATCTTCCAGACTGACCTACATGGCTATCACTTTAAGGGGTCTGTTCAGAACTCAGCAATCCCCTTCTCTTCCTTCACATTATTCTTTCTCTATCATTTCCTTGCTGAACTGGATAGAAGGGGAATGTATATTACTTGAAAGCTTTCACTTTTGGTTAAACATCTTCCTTACCACAACTGGTATTTTGGAGGCATACCTTCAAGTTCCCATGAGTCCTCCTCATTAGAAATTTGGATGTACTGTCTATCCTGAACAGTGTTTCTGTCATTTGGACGTCCTGTTAGGCATTTATCTTAACCGAAGAATATGTCCTGTGCATTGTCTGGCCTGAACAATAATCCTGGCAGTGGAACCTCCTATTTAGCATTCAATTTGGCCCAAGGCTATTTAGAAAAGTCCCAGTAGCTCTGGTGCCTATACAGATAGCAATGTTTCCATTCAGGGCTCTTCATCCAGAACAGATTTCTGCCAAATTAAAACAACATCAACCTCACATGGAACACAGGATAAAATATGTGAAGATGATCATCAATGTACAAAGAAGCAGAGTATTCTCCACTGGAAGGTGGGAAATTCAGATGTTAAGTCATCACCTCTTGCTATAGATTTATCAAGTTAGTCCAATTGACCGGCCATACTGGTACCTTCACAGAATATTAGTATTACTGGGCAAGGTTTATGCAAGAATGGTTAGACTATCTTTCTACCTTTTTAAGTTGAGGTCACCCAGCAACTTATCTACATCAGAACTTAAACATGTGCTTCATTGAGGAATGCAAATCCTTGTCTTCAGAGACACTGCTCAAATACCAAGCGAATACCCTGTTTCCCTGGAAATAATACATCATCTGAAAATAAGACCCACTAGAACAGTGGTTCTCAACCTGGGGTCCCCAGATGTTTTTGGCCTTCAACTCCCAGAAATCCTAACAGCCGGTAAACTGGCTGGGATTTCTGAGAGCTGTAGGCCAAAAACATCTGGGGACCCCAGGTTGAGAACCACTGCACTAGAAGTTTTGCTGAATTGCTAACTATAAGGCCTTCCCCGAAAGTAAGACCTAGCAAAGTTTTGGTTTGGAAGCATGCTCCTCTGGTGACTGGAAGCTGCAATACTGCCCCTGTTGTGCAAGTGGTCCATAAATTTATGTGGGAGATTTTTACAGTCTCCAGACAGTGTGTGGGAATCAGGTACTTTATAGTGTGAGGGCTAGTATTATTTATTTATTTATTTACTTTGCTTATATACCGCTGTATCTCAAGCCCGAAGGCGACTCACAGCGGTTCACAAACAGTAAAAACAGTAGAAACAGCAGTTCCATACAACATATAACAATTGACTTAACACATTATCCATAAATTACCAATAAGCAATTACAATGCACAATTATTACAAAAAACAACCGTACCCAATCTTCTCATCATCCAAGCGTAGTCCAGGTTCGTCGTCCATTGTTCCATTCCTATGTTCCATTACCAGATTATAGTATATTTATTATATACTGACAACTACTGTACAATATATAATAAATGTTCTTTTTTTTTGTTCAACAATAAATGTGAATTCTTCTTCATGGAAAAACTAGACATCCCCAGAAAATAAGACCTAGTGCATCTTTGAGAGCAAAAAAATATATAAGACACTGTCTTATTTTTGGGGAAACAGTGTATCTTGATTATAACAGTGCAAAGCTCTGAGGTGAGTTTGCTTTAGGGTCAAGACCGAAAAAATATAGTCAATGCTGGAAGTGAATCTGGTGAAGCAGGAGGTGTTTTCATCACAGCAGTACAAAATAACACAGAAGCAACTCTAGGAATACTGCAGAGAACGTACTGATGCCAACCGTTTACAATCAGTCATTCTCTTTTCCAGCACTATGTGCCTTAGGGACCCACTTCCTTAGTTACTTTTTAAATCAGAGTAGGACTTTAGAGGAGAAGATCCCTCCTGCAATGTGTTAGACTGGAGGTTTATTATCTCTTCTCTGATGTCCAGAAACATTGAAAAGATCCAAGAACAAAAGATAGAAATTGGAGCACAAAATTACTCATTGTGTCATCTTGATGATCCCGGCATGCTGTTTAAAATATTTATAATTCTTCCTGTGAGATATTTAATTATTTGAGGATTTTTTTCTAGATATATTGAACCCAACAAGGGAAATATCAGTATAATGTTGGAATTCCTGAGGCCCCATCGGCACTGCCATATAATCCAGATTCTGAATGCAGTTTATCTGCTTTTAACTGGATTATATGACAGTGTAGACCCCAAGTTGGATTCTTACTCCAAAGGCTTTTATTGTAGGCCAAAGCAATAAGGTGACAATAGTGCACACTGCACAAAAGTTCTGTCACAACCTGAAATGGGGTTGCATGGCTTTTTATCACTTTTCATAGAAAATTGAAAACAGATTGGTGTTCAAAGATCAATCATTTCATTGGTCTAAGCTGCCTAATACAAATTTCATTGGCTCTCTATGACTGTAACAGACTGGAAGGGACACGTGGGATCTTAACAATGGCACAACTATGCTTTTATGTTTTCTGACCCTGGCTGTCTCAATAAATCAGTCTTACCTGTTTTTCAAGAGAGTGGGAAATTAGGGGGTACAAACTGTTGGAGGGTGTAAATGTAAATAAACAGAAGCTTTACCACTGTTTTTGAACCAAAATATACCCTGCAGTAAAATAATGTGTCACTCAGATTTGTGTAACGAGTAACAGTAACTTTACTTCAGTTCAAAAAGTCAAACAGACCAATAATATATACAGCAGTCTCTGAATCCTTACATAGAACAGAGGGAATAAACAGTCATTTTAGATAGTCTTCATGCTTTAGAAATGATCAAGCTTCAGAGAGTTGGCAGCCATTTCCTTCCTGGCTGTTTCCAGTCAGCACTCTCTTCACTCTCTGAGATGAAAATGGCAGTTAAAACCGTTTGTCCCAGCAGCAAGCTAGAGACAGTAGCCAATCAGAATTCTGGCTCCTGGCACACCCACCCAATCAGCTGCCAACACACGTCTTTCCAGTCAATCCCATTTGCATCATGGTGCCTTTTTACAAATCCTCACACAAGCTAACCAGTTCTGTCCTGCTGTACTTTTCCTTGAAAAGTAAAGTCCTCTCTGAAGCATCGTTTTCCCCAACCAACAGCGTTTTCCGCAACCAAAGGCCTCTGCAAATCATATATATGGGACTTCCAGTCATTGAAAGCATCAATGAAAATTCCCTTTTAAAACTACATCTCCCTCATTATTAATGCAGTTTGACACCACTTTAACTGCCCTGGCTCAACCCTGGGAGTTGTAGTTTGGTGAGGCACTAGGTTAAAGATCTTCTGAAATTACAATTCTGCTTTAAGTGAGCCATGGCAGTTCAAGTGGTGTTAAACTTCATTAATTCTACAGTGTCTCTTACATTGGGTCATAGTAGGTTTTTCAGGCTATATGGCCATGTTCTAGAAGCATTATCTCCTGACATTTCGCCTGCATCTAGGGCAAGCATCCTCAGAGGTTGTGAGGTCTTCCTTACCTTTCTGGAGCATATATATATATATATATATATATATATATATATATATATATACACACACACATACATACACACACACACACACACACACGGAGTAGTAATGGGCAGACTTCTTTTTCAGTCTGGAATTTCTGAAGCAAGATGCTGGTGTCCTTATAAGATCACCCCACTTGTGTGACTGTGAGGAGATTGTCCCAGATTGTGAAAATGGATTTTCACATTTTCACAACCAAATTTCACTTGCTCCCTCCCAAGAGATGCTCTCTCTTCTGAGTGTTAAAATCAGGCAGGCGATCCATATCACCCCAAAAACGTTGTTTACAATACAAATACAAGGGGGGAAAGGTAAAAGCCAAACCCTCAGCTGTGAATACGCAGTCTCTCGTTGCTGGCTTTCATTGCAGGGATATGGCATGCTTCTCTCTTTATTTATTATATTCTGAAGGTGCTCCTGCAGATTTGTTGTGACTTTAGAAAGACCAGCCTGCTTCTG